TACTTATTGGAAGCATGTGGGTTTTGCTTCAATCTTTATCACATTTAAGTCTGCATCTGCACTTTCGCATCTCTTTGGTGACCCATGATTGAACAATCTGTATTTTACACAACTGATATAAGACTGCCCTCTACACACTGCATGCTCACACTGTGCATGCCTGCCTTAAGAAACCATAAGAGTCTTTCCTCCAAGGTGAGAGTTTTCCTCTTTTTTTTTTTTGGTTGTGTCAGGAGTAACCGCTCCTGTTGTGAGAGAATTGGCCGTCTGCAAGGACGTTGCCCAGGGGGCGCCTGGATGATTTTTGATGTTTGATGTTGATGTTGATCATCCTTGTGGGAGGCTTCTCTCATGTCCCCGCATGAGGAGCTGGAGCTAATAGAGGGAGCTCATCTGCCTCTCCCCAGATTAGAACCTGCAACCTGTCGGTCTTCAGTCCTGCTGGCACATTGCTTTAACCCACTGAGCCACCGGGGGCTCCTTCCTCTTAATAAAGAGATGTCATTGATCCTTTGGTTTGGAGGAGGAAAGATGGTTAAAGGAAAAATTCGAAGAGCCTTTCCGAGATGGAGGCTTTAAAGCCCTTTTGAATGAGGCCATTTGGGAACTGCAAGGCTGGCAAGTTCGTTAACCTCAGCCTGGTGGAGGGGTGCATACAGGACGTATTGCTCTTCAAGAGCATCCTTCAGCTCCCTCCCTCACTGGCCGGTTGTCCTCTATGATGCCCTCCTCATCTCCATGAGGGCCATCAATTAGGGAAAGGGAGGGGAGGCCGAGGCACTATTTCTTGGCAGGAAGGAGGGGGGAAAGGGCCAAAGCCAGAGCTCTTCACCATTGGAGCTACATTTTTGTTGAGACCACCATGTGGCTAGAGAACTTGCTAGCCTCGGCCTGATGGAGAGTTGGGGCGCCTGTCAGCCATTCAGCTGCCTGAGGACAAGCCCAACAATGCAGGTATTTTTGGCAATGCAATTCAGCATGAAATAGTCAAATCTAGATTTTAAGTGTATTGCAGGCATCTGAGAACATTTATAATAAGAGATGGATTAATCAGGGACATAATAATAAGAAAGAGTAAAAGAATTTCAGATTTTGAAAGCCACCGACAAAAGTGAAAGAAAAGATACAAGTAAAACTGTTGAAAGCAAGGAAGCAAGCAACAAGGAATTTTGAGAGGAGAATATACAAAGAAGCAAAAATTAATGAAAGAATTTATAAAATGTATAAAAAGGGAGAGAAAGAAAGTAGGTTAAAAATGAAAAATACCTTATTTATTTGATTCTAAGATACCATCGATCGTAAGACTACAAATTGTGTGGTGTTAGATGTTTTCTATATGGTCAGTTATGTATGGATTTATGTATCTATTATATAAACATTGATATAAATAAGGAAAATGTTCTCACTGCTTCTTTGTCAGCAACAAGAAGCTGCATAAAAGGGAAGGAGGAAGGGAATGGAAAGACAAAGGAGCCAGGCCACATGTTTACCTAAGAAGTGGCACAGTACTGGAAAGGACTTATCGTGCATAAAATCAATTATGAAAAAAAGCAGCATGATTGGGAAGTATAGATGAGTTTCCCCCTTCTATTAAAAGGGACACTCCAGAAAAAGGTGGGATAAAAAACAGCTATAGGACCCCAATGATGCTGCTATCTTATAATATTGCTTCACAAACGTTGTGTGATAAAATTCTCAGTTAATGTTCATGTTGTTGTGTGAAAGTTATAAACCTTCTTACCAAAGATCAGTTCCTTGGGTTCAAAACTCTCTGAAAAAATACTTTCTGTTACACGTTTAGTAGTGAAGACTTTAATATATGTGATGTGCCATGAAGGCAATGTCTTTCTTTATACTACTGCAAATGGTTTGGAATTTGTGAACTGAATTCAATTTAGAAAATTCTCTTTATTGTTTTTCTTTATAATTCCTTTGTACAAGAACTGGAAAATCCTTTATTAGCAGTGTTTTTTTCTCTTCCAGGGAAGCGGGCATGTCCTGGGGAAGTATTGGCTCGGATGGAATTATTCATATTTTTCAGCACTTTGCTCCAGAGTTTACGCTTCCAGCTGGTTGAGGAAGTCACAGACATAGATCCCCTTTCTTTGTTTATCAAGCATACAAATAAGGGGCAGATCCTTCCAATACAAGCTATTAAACGTTAATTGTAATATAGTGATTTAAATAAGTGGAAGGATTGAAGCCAAAAAAAAATCTGAAGTTGGAAAAACAGAGGCCCTGAGGTATTCTGTCCTTCATTCCCTCAAAGGCTTGCAATTACACACAGGCATGACATCCCAGATATGAATGCTTAGATATTAAAAATGCTTCATCACAGAACAGAGGAAGAGCTGCTTATTGTTTTCCTCACTATCTATTTGTTTCCTTGAACTTTTTAAATTGTACAACATAACCAAGTACTGAAAAGATCATTGGGGCCTCTTCCTGATCAAGGCATTTTTTTTATCATAGAAATTTCCCCGCCCAAAAAATAAAATTTGGTCTCTTCCATCATAGCAGCTCCTATCAGTTCAACCCGGTCTCCTATATACATATTTTACATTTACAACCTAGCAGCATGCCAATACTGTTTTCCCCTGCCACAGCATTTTCCATATCATTACAATTTCCAATTTAATTTCCAATATTCCCCCTATAACATAGTAAGTAAGTAAACTTTATTACGGTCAATGACCAGATCATAACAGGGGGTGTGAGGATGTGAGGGCAATCTGGCTGCGACATCTGTCACCCCATTGATCACCAGGGTTGATTCGGTTGATCTGGTTGGCTAGGTGGGTGTCCCCTTCCTCCCTCACTGCTCCATGTGCGTCCCTCCCGAAGCTGCATGCTCGGTGGAAGAGGATGACGTCCCAGGTATAGAAGGAGTGTACCGAGGGCTCCAGTCTTCAGTCCCGGGTATATGATAGCTGTGCTCCCCTGCTAGAACCCCACTCTAACATAATTTTATTTCACAGCCCTTTAATTAATTAAATAGTTTTTGAAGTATGCATAAAGTTTGTAGGAAATATGGGCAACTTGAAGGGGTAACCTAATGAAAATGAATCATTTTGCATAGTGGTTGTATAGCTGGGGTGGGGGTGGGGGCATGAAAGTTTACTACATTACATGAATATGACAATAAGACAGAAGCATTTAATATTAACCACAATAAATGAATGGTGATTGAAGTTGATGCCTTTAGAAGAGATGAACAAGTTGTATTTGATTTAGTTGTGAGAAAGAGAAGAAAAATGGACTAGTAATTTGTGGTCCTGATAATTAGAGTACAGCTTTCATGATTAGAGAGAGAGAAAGTAAGAGAATACACTTTAAGGTTCACTTTTTAGGGAGAGGGATGTGGATAATTGTGTGCATTTATAACTGCCAAAAAAGAGATCAGAAGTCACTTTTTGTATCTTCTTTCTTTCTTTTTATTTTTTAATAATATCTGCACTTTAAAATGTATCATTGTAAAATTATTAAAAAGTGAATGGTTTTTGAAACATTCGGTTTTCTCACTCGTGTCTGTCTTTTTGTGCACAATTCATGAAATAGTCTGTACATGGAGTTACAGCATGAAGGGTGCTGATGTCATTGTTTTTATTTTTAAGAGTTTTACATGTAGTTTTATTGAAAAAGAACTTGAAATTGAACATTTAAAATAATAGTTTATGATATATAAAATAAATGTGGCTGGGTTGCCTAAACGTGAAGATATTCTGGGACACTGTACTTAAGTTAGAGTTATTACAAAAGACAAAACACTTACAAAGAGCTGCATTGCTCTTAGTCTCTCTTTCCCTGGCTAATGACTTAGAAGTTCTTATGGCATAGTTATGCCTAACAAATGGGGCACTCCTGGAACTGTAACTTAGGAAAGACAGGGTACCTTTGAGATTCTGTGGATCTAAAACCCTTCTGTTCTCTCATGAGGCCCCAGAATAAAGTCCCTTATTTATACAAGGACATTGAAAATGGTGTAGTAGAAAGAGAGAGAGAGAATGGAATATCAACTACCATAAATACTGTGGGCAAGGCTGTGAAACTTATGATTTGAATGCGAATTTCCTGCTTCTTGGCAGGGGGTTGGACTGGGTGGCCCATGAGGTCTCTTCCAACTCTATGATTTTATGATTCTAGGAAATTTCAGCAGGTGTTGTTTATCCCTGCAACTTGCTGAAATTCCCTCTCCTACAGGGCCAGGAGCTGTCTCTAGTTTTCACCTTGAGAACCCTACATATGGGGACAATAATTATAAACAGTGTTTGTATTTGTGGAAGAGTTATTAAATGTTTCAAAACCTGTATAATATTTTTTCATCTTAGATTCTTCTTTATGTGGATGTGGAAGCACTGCTTCCCCAAATATACACAAAACATACAAAGTTTTCTACTGTTTCCTAGGATCACTTGTCCCATTAGCAAGGGGAAAAGATGTAGAGGCAAACCCTAATACCTCTGGGGCCCCTTCTACACTGCCATATAAAATCCAGATTATCTGCTTTGAACTAGATTATATGGCAGCGTAGACTCATATAGTCTGATCCAAAGCAGATAATGTGGATTATATGGCAGGGTAGAAGGGGCCGAAATCTCTTGCAAAATGGACTCAAAAGGTCTGGCCTGTCCCACTAATGTTTTAACCCCCCCCCCCCCCGCCATAACATAGATATCTAAAATAAAATGTGAAGGAGGACTGTTTGTGTGTGTGTCCCTGCCTTCACACAGAAATAGCATTCTTTGTCCCTTAGAATCTATATGCTATGGTAGTGACAGAAGCATTTGTTCAGGCACGTTGTAGGAGAATTACGGTAGCAACGGTGTTTCCTAGGAGTTCTGAGAAAGAGAGAGTTCCACAAACAGAAGCTTTGCAGTCTCTCTTTCATTTGCTGCCAGCATAAGACTGTTACCCATAAACAGACACTTAGTGGCTGGCAAGTGGCTGGAAATTGCTTGAATTTTTGAAACTGACCCTGTTTGTCTGAAAGGACTGACAGAATGAAGACCCAACCTCCAGTTGTGGAGGTAGTGCCTGAGGTTCTCGAATATAAATTAGAATACATGCCAGATCTACGGTGTGAGAAGCAAACTGACTTGGTGCCTGTTTGCCAGAAATGCAAATCCTGCATCTTGTCCTGGAAGGCCGCCTCTACCCGAGAATGGTTTGTACGAGCCAGCCATGCGTCTCAGACACAATTCTTGGTAGGGATCATCAAGCGGTTCCAAAGCCAGGACCTCTTGAACTACACATGGAACCTTTTACAGTCTACAAATACCAAGGATTTCACCTATTCCCGTTCCTGTGTCAGACCCATCTCTGCAGCCTCTTCCAGCTTGGATCGGGCGTTAGATCAGCAAAAATTAAAGCAGTCAATGGAGGACCTCTGGAAGTGGTTCCTCCATGCCAGTTTCTGGACCAAAGCAAATTATATGCTGCTTTTGCTGCAAATGTGTGACTCGCAACTGTTGCTGATGGCTGCTAATCTGATTCGTATGTTGTTAAGCCAAGATGAGACATTCATCTTCAAAACAGAGGAATCAGGTAATATTGCATGGGCAAAGGGCCTGGCCACCTTTCAGAGTATTGAAATATTACTTATGAGACAATATCTCGCAAAATCTTTTCCAGTAAATATATTAGGAGCCATAGTCCAGAAAAAGGGCCCTCTGGTGGCGCAGTGGGTTAAACCACTGAGCTGCTGAACTTACTGACCGAAAGGTTTGTGGTTTGAATCTAAGAAGCAGGGTAAGCCCCCACTGTTAGGCCCAGCTTCTGCCTACCTAGCAGTTTGAAAACATGCAAATGTGAGTAGATCAATAGGTACCACTTCTGTGGGAAGGTAATGGTGCTCCATGCAGTCATGCCGGCCACATGACTTAGGAGGTGTCTACAGACAACGCCAGCTCTTTGTCTTGAAATGGAGATGAGCACCCCCCCCCCCCCCCCCAGAGTCAAACATGACTAGACTGAATGTCAGGGGAAACCTTTCCTTTTTATAGTCCAGAAAACATTTCTAAGATCTGTACAAAAGTATGGTACAATACTAACTAATCCCCATCTCCAAAATACAAAGACATACTCCACATCATAGCTTGGGAAATTACTTTGAATATAAATCAACTTGTTACTGTTAATGCTACCCCCAATACTGGTAGCTTGATAATGTTACTTATGTCTTTTTTAAAAGTCTTCAAAAATAAAATAAAATATTTAAATGAAGAAAACACTCTTGAAATCACAGAAGGAAACATTATACAATTATGACATTATGAGTTCACTGTGACTGCAGTAGATGTATTGCGTCTTGGGATCGGCAGTTCAGGATGAGGCTTTTAGAATCCTCAGCCAAAGGATTACTCTGGTGCTTCTGACCAAATTATAAATCCCATGCTTCCATAAGATGTTCCCACAGCCAGTGAAGTGAAATCATAATCCTATCTATCTATCTATCTATCTATCTATCTATCTACATGTAATGTAAGAGTTCCTGCATTTCTTTGAACCATGGAATTAGTGATGTCATACTACATTGATTTTTACAATATAGAGCCAGCCCAAGACTGTAAAGTAACATGTAGCAACAATGATCCTGGATAGCAAAATGGTCCTTCCCATAATGTTAAGCACAGACTAGATTCTGTTCTCTGGTTGTACTGGTCCATTTAGTTTTCTTGGCAAGGATACTGGAGTGGTTTGCCATTGCCTTCCCCAGGGATCACGCTTGGTCTGACCTCTCTGCCACAACCGTCCCGTCTTGGGTGTCCCTTCACGGTTTCGCTCATGACATCATTGAGGTGCTCAAGCTCCAGCGCCCCGACAAGGCGGTGATCCTTTGCTGGAGCTTGAGCACAGAGCAATGTCCAATCTCGATAAAATAGTAAAGAGAAGAGACATCAGAATGGCAACAAAGATCCGCCTAGTCAAAGCCATGGTATTCCCTGTAGTAACCTACGGATGTGAGAGCTGGACCTTAGGGAAGGCTGAATGAAGGAAGATAGATGCTTTTGAACTGTGGTGTTGGAGAAAAAGTTCTGAGAGTGCCTTGGACTGCGAGATGATCCAACCACTCCATACTTCAGGAAATAAAGCCCGACTGCTCATTGGAGGGAAGGATACTAGAGGCAAAGTTGAAGTACTTTGGCCACATCATGAGGAGACAGGAAAGCCTAGAGAAGACAATTATGCTGGGGAAAGTGGAAGGCAAAAGGAAGAGGGGCTGACCAAGGGCAAGATGGATGGATGGCATCCTTGAAGTGACTGGACTGACCTTGAGGGAGCTGGGGGTGGTAACGGCCGACAGGGAGCTCTGGCGTGGGCTGGTCCATGAGGTCACGAAGAGTCGGAGACGACTGAACGAATGAACAACAACAGATTCTGTTCAGTTAGAACTATCTTCTGTGAAATATCTCTTATGTTTTATATTTTCAGTAAAATTACCTGATTTTAATTCTTTCAGACCAAACCAATGAAGAATTTTTGACTCTTTCAAAAGCACAAGAGAAATCTACCCCCCAGGATGAGGGTCATCTTTCATCAGGAGTGGAAGGTTCAGAGAGGAATGGTGTATATGGTATCATCAGATTTTACTGACATACCAAAAATATGTAATGCAATTTTAAGCATATATTCTAGTTCTAAGCTCTTGTATAGTTTCTGTATGATTAGCTGCTAATATTTTAATTTTCCCTGGATTTGTCTCAATTCCCCTATATAAGTATGGTTTTCACAATGATTTTATTTTTGGCAATTATTTCTGCTGAATGAGAAGGTTACATATGTAGATGGAGAAGACATAAGGTGGGGGTGAGGAGATGAGACACGCTTAGTTTCATCATGTGTACATACCTCATTGTCCCGAATCTAAAACATGAGCAAGGAAGAAAAAGACATACACAGTACAATTATTAAACAAAACTAGAATGTGTGATTTAAAGCAGTGTCATTCAAAGCGATGGTTCGAGGACTGGTACTAGTCCCTGGCTCATTGGCTGCCAATCCCTGGTGAGTTTCCAGGAGAGAAAGAAACCATTGTAGCTGATAGCAATTAACATTTTGCTGACATAATGAATATCAATTATGTTGAGCTCCAACAAATATCAGGGATATATTCCTTACAGAACCTTGGTCTACATTTAGCAAGTTAGTATGCAGGCACTGGTGCAATATGGGAAAATAGGAGATGGTTCTTATCATACCAATCCTGACTGCACCAATCTGACTTTCCTTATTACAGCTCATCTACATTTGCAAAAGGCTTGGTCCAAAGACTCTGATGAGCTCTCTGGAGACATATCTGAGGACATGGGTGATGATGACACTTGCTTTTCGGTTGTATTGAATGTCACAAGCCCTATGCCTACCTCTTCTCAGAGGATCCCAAGTCATGCAGAGTTCAAAGATTTTATTCGCTGCCTGCCCATCCACCTATCAAAGCGCATCTTGTGTAAGTATCTCTGAACTTCCCCAGAGCTCTTGGTCACTCCTGTTTTGTGTCAACAGAATTGCAACTTGTTATTTGTAATTTTTTTTAGGTATGCTGGATCATAAATCCCTATACAGATGTTCCTTTGTGAGTCTACACTGGAACTTTCTAGTCAACCAAATCAAGAAGGATACCATAACTAATCGTGCCCTTCGAAGTCGGACTGCAGTCTTTCAGGTGCCCTGCAATACTACTTTACTTATGTTCTTTGACGGAGAAACTCTTTCTTCAGGCTTGATAGTTATGCAGATAAAAGGAGAGCTCTTCATCCCTTCATGTGCTCGAGATATTTAATTTCCTCTTTGAGATGTTGTCCTTTTCTTCTTGCCTTCAGTAATAGGAATGGAAAGAATATTTTAAAATATTTTTCAAATGTTTGATAGCCATGTTTTTATGTGTCAACAAAACCATGGCAAGAAGAATTCTAAGCCAATGGGATTCTTTGCTGTTCAGAAATTATTTTGCATAAAAGTGCCTATCGTATTTCTATACTAAAATATTATTTCCTGTGCAGAAAAAAATGTTTCCTGTGTATGTATGCGGTGACTTATATTGTGCAAAATCCACATATGAGCAATTTTTATGGAAAATAGCATTTTCTGTGCAGGAAACAGCTTTTTCTGCATGGAAATTAATATTTGTGTGTAGAAGTATCACTTTCTGCACAAAATGTGCTGTTCTTTGTGCTGAAAATGACATTTTCCATACATACCAACTATGTGCAAATGTTGTGGAAACCCTCCAAATGGTGAATAGTATTTAAAATGATGTGGTTTCCTAATACTTTCATGCAGCAGGAAAAACATTGTTAAAATATCTGTTGCTACCTTTGAGAAGAAACTTAGTGAAAGCATGGATTTCTTTCCAGTGCTTAATGTGCCCTGTTTGATAGACACCAGGGCATTTTCAAGGGAAACAAGCTTTGATAATTAATGTTTCTGTATCTAGGTTTTCATTTGCAAGAGTTCCATATTTGTCAAGCTGTTGCTTTTTATGATAATTAAATTACAAATTCAGCTTTATTTGTAACTGTAAAGTTCAGCTTGTATTTCCTGGCCTTTCCTGTACATAATATACAACATTTTTGCTCCGCAATCACCCCGTTTGCAGATATATTGGATTAATCTGAAGGGTCAAAGTGTATCTTAAGATTTGTCTGCCACCTGACTACAAAGTAAGAAGGAAAAACTTCTTGCAACAGTTGCACATCTGTTCCAACATTGAAACACCTGCATGCTTTAGTGGAGGGAAACCACCAGATTCGATAGGTATGGGAGATCAAGCAGACACACTTAGTTCTAGAATACATTGATAATAATAGTGATTTTTATTTGCTTGGTGTAGTTAACATAAGACATTGTATACAGATATTACATAAGACATTGTGCACAGACATTTTGCCATATTATAATGGAAGTAACCCTACATGCTTATAGTCTAAGCAGTGGGAATAACTTACTCAACCATGGGTCGGGGAAAAGGTACCACTCCACCTCCAATTATAGACCATATTTGGAAAAAAAACCCATATATCTTTTGGTTTGTTTGCCACATCACCATCCATTAGTAAGGAACATGCAAACATATACATTAAATTTCTTAGTAATGGATGACAATGTGCTTATAATTTCCACATTACATTTTCATGAAAGTTTGCACCTACCTATAATTCCCAAAACTATGCTCACATATTTCAAATGCACTATAAAAGTAAATGGAACTGGGTGAATCCCGCTGCCAGCTTTATTTTTCAAGATAACAACAACAGCAATAACAACAACAACAGCAATAACAACAATAACAACTTTATTCTGGTACCCTGCCTCCATCTTCCCAAGGGGACTCAGGGCGGCTTACAGATGTCACGAAGTGTCTAAAATAGAGTGTAAAATGAACTACAAAACACAAGTACAATAAAATAAAAACATATGGCATATAAAGCAACAATTAAAAACATCATACAATAACCTATGGAGACAAACTACCAAAGAACATGGCCAAACTGTAAACAAAAAGACAAGGGAGTGGGATAGTGCAAAATTGTCGCCATAGAACAAGGACATGGGAAGAAGTGCAGTGCTGTGTTATTATTACATAAACCACTAAGGGCTAGATGTTCTCAAAAGCTTGTTTTCAAAAGCAGATCTCTACGAAAGGGGGACAGTGTGGGGGCCTGGTTCTTGTGGCTATTATGTAGAAGGTCTATGGTGGAAGTGATTTCTTTTAATCCATTTCCTAACTCAGTTAAGTGTCTGTGTAGAACTGCCCTCAGTTTCCACATTGCCTGAACCAGCAAAGTAAATTTGAGCTCATTTTTATTCCACTTTTAACAACCAAATTTAAACAAGTTAACAAACTGTGTCCTCTGCTGGTAGAAAGTGAAGGTATAAGGTTACATTAGCTTCTATTTCTGATTTTAGTTTTTGGATTATCAATTAGATGTCGTTGTTGTTGTTGTTGTTTTGATTATCTTAAAATAACAGACTCTAGTTCAGAATATATGGAAAGGAAATTAAACAAAGGTGTTTTTGAGCAGTTTAAGATGCCAGAACCTAAAAACAGCAACACTGATGTGAGTGAACCAAGGGAAAGAAAACAAATGTATCTTCAGACTGCAGGGACAGGGAAGAAAATATAAGAAAACACAGAGAAAAAAAGTTTAAACCTTCCATTTTTGTCCAAACAAATGGACAAACCTTACATCAAATGGATCAGATCCCTTTTAGATGGCAGAAACATGTTAAACTGAAAAATACATGTTTCTATATACACGATGGCATGGTGAAACCAAAAGAATGCTGAGAATGGACTGGGATAAACAAATGAAGATTACATGAAAATTAAAGAGATGTCTTTTACATATGTGATGATACCGAGAATTGAATGTGATAAATGAATAAGACTTTACACAGAAACAAAATACAGTTAAAAGTGGAAAGGACTGAAGTATAAAAGAATATACTATGTGAGGTAATTCAAAGGGAAGAATTTGAGGAAATCTTGAAATACTGAAAAAATACAAAGTTGTTAGATTTTTTTTTATTCCCTGTTTTTTTGTTTTTGTTCCATTTCTGAAAAATTAATAAATGTTTTCTGTTAAAAAATAATAACCTGATGATTTATCTTGTCTTTTGCAGGGCTTATGTCCTAAGAGAGCAATTGGCAACTATGCCAAAATAGTCACAGTTGCTATTCCTCGGATCGATCAAAATGGTGACATTTTCCCAATCAGAGGCAAGACCAAGTTGTACACAAAGGTATGTTCCTTGGACAAAAATTCAGCAACTGTGGGACATTCCTGGTTAGGTACCAGTGGTGGCTTTTTCTCTGTGTATATCATCTTAAAGAGAACCTGGAGCATAGAAGAGTGGTGCTTTGTCAGTCTGAAGTTACTGTTCTTGCCTTTTATATCTACGCAGTCATTAGTGGGGATGTGTGCCAGTCCTATCCTAATACACTTTCCCTGCTGGTTAGGCCGGCACCTGGTAGATTTCTTCAGGAAGAAAATCCAGGCATAGGAAGTAATTTATTTCCTACTGTGGTATTCTCTCTCTTATTACCACATTACCATTGTTCTTCACTCTGCTTTAAGGAATTTCAGCACTTGCAGAAAGCCTATCATGGTCAAGAGACAGAAAGTATAACATTAGAAGAAAGGAATGTCTTCTGCAGCAGCTATAACATCCGTCTTCTAGTAGACAGGTACAAGAACATGCAACAAGACACTTTCCCTCTGGAAATGCTATTTGATTTTTTAAAAAAGATTTGTCCAGACAAGAAAAAAAATCCTTGGAAATATTGAGACTTTCCTGTTCTTTTCATTTTGATTTTACCTGCATTGCTATGGTTTTACATCCAAATCTTTCCATGAAATATCCTGGGTTACTCTTCCTCCCATTAATGACATCTCATATCTAGACTCAGACAATATTTCAGAAATTGCCTTTCAGTAATTTATACCTCAACTTTAAGGTTATTATTCAGGAGTTATAATCAAATTATTAAAGTGTTTTAGTAGTAGTCATGGATCTGGTAACTGTTTCAGCCATTTAATTTATGTTTTTGTACCGTTTCATTCAGATGGCACTAAACAGTACCCCCCGCCCCCACCACTACAGAAATATCAGTGAAACGAATGGAAAGTGGGAACGGTAACCATTTGGTCACTTGATTTTCAGCATTAGGCTGCTGGCCCTGGCAGGTATGGGTGCTTTGGGTCCACAAGCCACACAAGCACTTTCTTTCCAAAAAGAGTGTGTGTGAGGCTTGCAATCCCAAAGCACCCATGCTTGCCAGGGCCTACAGCTGAGTGCCAGGCTTGCAGTTCAGTGCCAGTGCCTGGGATGAAAAAGCTCATTCAGAAAGGTACCTGTTTTTGGGAGAGCCACTCAAAAACTAAAATGGGGCCTTACAAATGAAACCAGCAGAAATGGACAGTGATTCCATACAAATGCACAAGACTTATTTAGCAGTATTACCCTAGGTAAGCATGAAGATCATTTTCTTTTATTGCTAGCATTCCCTTTTCCCTCACCTGATCTTTATTGAATCTGTTGCCCTGAAACACTTGCTATTGTTTCTTAGTACAAACCATCTTTCCTAGTTCAGTTATCACAGAAATACACTGAATGAAGTACATTTTATTTCAGAAATACAGTGGAGCTTTGGGAGCCACTCGGGTTTGATTCCAGGACCCCTCGTGGATATAAAACTCCATGGGTGTTTAACTCCCACTACATACAATGGCACAGTAAAATGGTGTCCATTATATAAAATGGCAAAAACAAATCCCTTTTTGGAATTTTAATAAACAGATGTTCAGGTCATGCATGGTTGAATCTATGGATGCAGAATCTGAATACTGAGGGTTGATTGTACTCTTTTAATTTTAACTGACCTGGAGAATGGGAATAAAAAGTTCTTGTAAGTTCTTAGTGTTCTCTGAGAATACTTCAAGATGGGACATCAAGTAAGTCTCCAAACAAGCAATGGGAAAGACAGGAATAAAACCTGGAACCAGCAACCAGGAAATTCTCCAGTCCATTTGGATGGACCATTAATCTTATTTATTTAATTAGTTTTGTCCTGTGTTTATTAGAGGGTATTAAGCTAGAATACATGTAAAGCAAGAATTTTTTTTTAAAAAAATAAAAATATTTAAAGAAGCAATTCAAACATGTACAAATTAAAAACAGCTTTAAAGATTGCACTCATACACATGTCCTCTTGAAAAGTAAACTTGTCCCCATACAGTACCTTTTTCATCCCATCAGTCCTCCTTCTGTACCGGTGAGGCTTGCAAAGAAGATAGAGGGGGTGGTCTCAAGGCTCATGTAGAGGAGCTTTGCTGAAATTAAGCAAGTACAGACAGTGGTTGGTCGGGAGACTGCATGTCAAAACTCCCAAGGAAACTGCCTTCAATTCTACTATAGACAAAATATGGAATTAAAAATACAAATGGAAGAAATAAAAACAACCAAATTGTATCCTTATTTAAGCTTTTATTTTTTCCCCTTCAGTTTGGATCCAAACAGAGTGGTTCATTATACTGGTGGCAAATTGTTAGCCTTTGGTTCTTCAGATCGAAAAATCCGTTTTCTGAATGTGACTAACTTGAAGTCTGTCCCACCTCTTCTTTATGGACATGCTGGTAGCATCCGGGCTCTCTACATCAATGAACAGAAAGGGTTCCTTCTGAGTGGCAGCTATGATCTCAGCATCCGGTACGTTGTGCCAACCTTATCGAATGCATTTGAGTACCCAAGAAGATCTTACTGAAATCAATGAAATGGAAATGCTTGAGTTTTGATGGCACTTAAACATATACTTCCTGTATCATTATGCCCCAACTCTAAACTTGGTTATTTTGGACTATTTGGCAAAGCTGAAGCCAACTGATAGAACATGTCACAGAACATTAACAGAGTGCTTTGGAAATAGTGCAAGATATGGTGCTTGTGTTGCAGGGGCTTGGATGAAGAAACTAAAACTATGATGAAATTCCATTTGTGAGTCCCCTTACTAGAATAATTTGAATATTTGGAATATCACAACATTTCTTAATAGTTCAGGATGATTTGGAAACATGGATATTATACAAGTAATATCTTTTATCTGTCATATCTATTAAAGAAACCCTGCTAGTCAGCACATATTAGTCAACACGAATTAATGTTAGACTGTATGAATTTACCTGGTAGGCAAAACTATCACAATTAGTATCATAATCTGTACATGTAAGAATTTTGTACCCCACCCCACTCCAACATTAGTCTCCATAATTTAGGTTTAGTGATGATGGTAAATAGACACAACCTGGAGCTCCTTTATGAGTTCACTCTGAATGCCAACTACAAATAAACTCATTATGTTCATTGCATTCTTCTTTCATCTCCCTTGTTCCATTCTCCTTTGTTCTGAATTTTTAGAATGTGGAATATCCTCCTTGGAACATGTGTGAAAATTTTTAATGGACACTCAGGGAGCATCACTTGCTTGGATGTCTACAAGAACAGATTTCTGTCCGGATCTAGAGACTGCACAGCAAAAAGTGAGGAAGCAGATTCTGTAGGAATCCAGGAAATGTTAGAAACGTTTGTTAAATCTGTAATCTCTACTATGGAAGTGTAGAAAATGTTCAGAATAAGGATATATAGTAGACTCCTTGTATGTGTGGGGTTGGTTTTGTGGTTTCACCACTGGCATTTGACAAATCTGTCATCTTTATGACTTTTCCAGGTGATTTTATGGTATGCTTCTTCTGGAAGATGGCACAGAGTCAATCTGATGGACTTAGAAAATTCCTAGAGGGGGAAATCTCTGTAAGAATTTTCTGGGTCCTCCAAAGCGACCCTTGGCCTCTTGTAAGCCAAACCGAGTCCTGCGGGAGATGGTAGCGGGGTATAAGATCAACAAATAAATAAATAAATAAAATATTGTAGTTTCCAGTGGAAGTTGTTAATTTCAATGGGATTTGCTATTACCACAGAAAATTTTCCCATTTCCACAATAAGTTCAGGATTGTATCCCCATGCAGATACAAGGGTCAGAGTGTAATAAAACCTGCAACAAAATGTTGCCATGTATCATGTTGCTCATCTTCTAACAGAATGTTCGTCTGGGGTACCAGAACCTCAGCATTTCTGCTTCCAGGGTACTACAAACAATAATGGCATTTTCCAGTTGACACTCACTGTCCAATTGGTACTAGGAACATGGTCTGTCCTCACTGGCAAATATATGTGTGTGTGTGTGTATTCAATGAAATAAAGTGCCCATCTGTAATTTAATTTATTTTTCTGTATTCTGTGGGATTCACTCCAACACCTTCCTCTTTTCATGCGAATTTGGCTCCCAGCTTGCTGGTACTCAAATATTTGAGTTCACTGTCAGAGCATGCATGCATGTGTGTAGTCATCCATGTTTCACTCTTTGTATGCGTAGATGCCAGCATTAGTAATCTGTCCAACCTATTCAGATTGCTTATTCCTGCTTCATTGTACCAACCAGTCTCAGAAGGAGCAGAAGGGAGGCACTGAAACAGATGTTACTGTTAAAGATGTCCGACTTTGTTGCCAGTTTTGGAAAGATTTATAAGCAAGATGGAAAACTGATTTACTCATAGCATGTCTATATATTTGTTAGGGAAGAATATTTGTTAAAACTTGTGAAAGCTGGCCATGTAAAGAAAAAAAATGACTTCGAGGAAGAACAGTAAATGATAGACTGTAGTGTTGTTCAGGACTTTTGAAGGGAAATTTGTTTATATAATATGCATATGGAAATATATACTTTCTACACAGAAAACATGGTTTCTGAAGAGCAATTACTCTTCCCTGCCTAGAAATACTATTTTCGACACAGAAAATACATTTTGTGTGTAAATTTTCCCTACTTGATCTCCAAAACACATTTCTAGGCTGGCTAATTTTTCTAAAGGATGCCCTGAAAAACAAATGGTTAAAACCTGCACAGAATGTTGGTGTGTTGTAAGAAAATGATTGAGATTAGCTGTACTTGCCCTCAGTAATAGAACTTGCAAAAGCTTCACAACCTTATTCTTTGTGAAGATTTGTGAGATTCCAGTCCTATCTCACTTCTATTTAACTGAAGTTCAGTTAACTGTTCTATTGAGTTGTGCATGCACTTGCCATTCTTTCCCCCTTTTGCCTTTTTCTGAATGTTTGTGCACCCTCCTTTTTCTTGGAGGGAGGCCTTTTCAGGATACATTTTAAAGGTTTATGAAATATCCTTCAGAACCTATTCAGCCACATAGATCCTTGTTTCTCTTTGATTCCATTTTGGCTCAAGTGATGCCATTTTTAAAGAGTTTGCTACATGTGGTAAAGAAATTCTAGGACTGACAAATGTTGTGTACATGATAAAATAAATTTGTTTCAGTCTTAAAGATACTATAGGACTCCAAACTTCCATGTAAACATGTTTCAAATTATAATGAAAATTGATTCACTGTTTTTATTCCTTGCAGTGTGGGATATTGACACTGGGAAATGTATCAAGACTTTTGGGCATAAAGGTATTGTTTGGGCTGCTAAAATGAATGAGACTCATGTTGTGAGTTCCTGTAACCAGGGTGTGGTAAAAGTGTGGCATGCTGAGACATTTATACTGATCAAGGTAAGACTTTTATAATGGTGTCTAATTTTGAAAGTAATCTGGCTCAATATCTTGCATGACAATATGAAATCAGAAATTAGCAGCCATTGTAAGTGCAATGTGCATTGTATCTTTCCTTTCTGTTGCTTCCAACTGGAGAAATTTAAAAACATCCCACTCCCTCCCCAGCAAAAGCTATGGCAATTCTTCTTCAGCAAACACTTGTTTGTAACATGTTTACGAATTTGAAGATTTGATAATGTTTTTGACAAATTTGCGTCACCTGGTGGAAAAGCAGATATGATTGCTGTTTATTGGATCTCCTTTGCAATTGTGTTACATTGTTTGTCTATCTGTCATTTTCAACTATCATTAACAATAGATCCCATATATATGTCCAAGTGGCAGAAATCCATGGAAGAATGTTCATCCTCTGAGTGTTAAAACGTAAATAATCAATATTAATCAAATAATGCCTTGAAGTGCTTAAACAGCACCCACAAACATGTCTGTTTCTTTTCTCAGACATTAGAAGGCCACCGAAGTCCTGTGAAATGCTTGTCATTTGATGAATGGCACCTTGTATCGGGGAGCAGTGATGGCTATGTCTTGGGATGGAGCATGTTGGGAAAACACAATAGATGCCTGATGGCATGCAGGCACCCCATGTACGTATTATTTGGTGGACAATGAAAACCATAGACAAAAAATGTGTTGGCTGTTTACTTAAGTCTTTACTTAGATATACCTTGATATTGAACAGTTTTCTAAAGGATGTATAAAGCCTGAAAACCTGAATTCTCAATTTTCCAAATCTCTTTTGTATTACATAATGAAGATCTGTTTTTGGATCATATTAGATGCCTATTATCCACATCTTTTACATTCCAGGAACCAATATAATAAACAAGTATCTAAGACCATAAATCCCAATAAGATCCTTGGGCATATCTACACTGAACACTTATTGAAGAAGTGGTTTCACTGTGTGGATTGCAAACCCTGGAACTAATTCAATACATGGATAGTGATTGCACTATAAAATATGGATTGCCTTTGACTGAAATTTGATTGTTGTTAAAATCAAATTTACTGTTACTTTGGGGCCCTTCCATATAGCAGAAAATGTGCAGAGAACTGGAGTTTAAACCTCCAGTTTCCTGCACGTTTGGTGCCCATAAAAAGGTCCAAAATATTGTCTTTTTGGTGAAGGGATGGCCACATCCTCACCCATGCTGGTTCACAATCAGCACAGGAAGGGAGGAGTATGGCCACCTGCCCACTTCCCTTCTTCACCCTTATTGTATTATTGCAAATACAATAAAGGGGTTGTACATGGTATGTTTGTTTATTCAATTTGTATCCACCTTGTCTCCCAAATTTCTACATAGATTTTTAAGAAGTTCTGTTAATAACCTGATGATAAAAAATGATGATAAAAACCCAAATAAAGTACTTTATTAAAACATCACTAATTTGAAAAAGTATCAAAGCATTTTAAAATCTTAAAAACAAAGTAGACTACACAGACAATTAGAATAGCCTTCTGCATGGACAATAGCCAAATGCTTCTTTTGATCTCTTCATAAAGCTCTTTTGGGCCATAGAGTTGCGCTGTAAAAGGGAAGATGCACAGGGCAGCTTGTGGGGCACTGTGTGCCTTTCCTCCTCCCCTCATCACATGGTGAGGATGTTGACACCCTTTCCCTCTCCCCAACAGATGGCAGAAAGGGTGGCAGCGCACTTTGCTCCACCGCCCTTTCTGTCATCACACGGCAAAAAGGGGAAGAATGTGAGGGTAGCTTCATCAGAGCTACCCAAACAACACTTTCCTTCACGTAGTGGAGGAGAAAGCACCTTTCAGCACTTCCTCTCCACTTTGGGAGGAATTTAGGAGGGACTTGCTGTGTGCCATGTGATGGCACACAGCAGGCCCCATCTAAGCAGTGCATTAAAGTGGCAAAACTGGGTTAAAATGCCTCGTGGGAAGAGATCACTTGAGAAGACTTTGCAAAGCAGAAAGAGCAGAGAGGCAGGCATGTAGCCAGGGGGGTGGGGGGGGGCTTGAGGGGCTTCAGCCCCCCCCCGAAATTCTCATGGTGGTTCGCGAAAAGGCCTTACTGGTGCATTATTTAAACTGTTATGTTTATTCATATCACGATCTGATCACCATACTCAATATATCCCATATGCATGGGGGTATTGGGGTAATTATACAAAAGGTTTGCTAGGCTAGACCCTCTTTCACTCAGACTCAGCCCCCCCGAAACTCACCCCCCCAAACCCCCCCTGAAAAATCACCCCCCCCCCCCCCCCGAAACGAAATCCTGGCTACGGGCCTGCAGAGAGGGGAAGACAATTGGGAAGTCTATAGGAAGAGGTGCAGTTTTCACACAATACAAACATACTCCTTGTCACTGCCCAAAGCCTGGATGCCCAGAGTGCAAGATGAGAGGTTTAAAGGGGAATGCAACTCCAGCCAGCAAAAGCTGAATCCTTTTTTCATTATCTATTTTTGAGAGACTAGATTTTGAGTGACTGGATTTTAAGTAGATTTTTTACTCTAGTGTGATGAGGCCTTAAAATATGGTTTCTGCCTCCTGCAGAATTCTGGGATTTGTAGTTAGGGATGAGACTTCAACAGCATGAGGCAGAAACTGGATTTTATGTGGATTTTTTTCCTAGTGTGATGAAGTAGGCAGCACACCCAATAGTTTAACTACAGATAGAGAGAAGTGATTTCCTTGATCAGTTTTTTCTCTATGTGTGCAAGGAAACAATTTGTACAAATGTAGCAATTAAGAAGACTTTATTTGTTTTTTTTAAAAGTCCACTTCAATTCTTTTTCCATTTACTATGAATGGCATCTATTCATCATATAAGGCAACAGATGTACAATTCCTATATAGTTTTGCAAGAGCAACCATGATCTTTACACACTCATCTTGTTTGTAGGGAAGTGCTATACCTGGGATTTCTTTATTTGAGAGTCATCAGCGGCTGTGCTGATGGGAAGATACGCATCTTTAATTTCCTGAGTGGGACCTGTTTAAGGATTATGAGAGCCAATAGCAGAGGTGACCCTGTGTTGTCCATCTGTATTGGAGAAAACAAGTAGGTTTTCTAAAGTAATAGCAAAGTCTATGATATACTATATTAGAAATATTTCTTATTTATGAAGAAATAAGTGGGAAGGCATATGAAGACTTTCTTGGCAATATAATCCAAAATGTTCTGCAAAACACATGGCCAATATATTGTATTCATTTTAATCATTTTGAAACATATGCATATTGTGTAACATTCAATGAACAAAATAGGATTTGCTTCTGAGGGCTTATCCAGATTGACATTTGTATTGCATAGTGCGGCACCATTTGTTTTACAGCTTGATGCTTCCTTTACCTTTTTTTTGTTTTAAAAAGGCTCAATAAAAAGAGCACATTTTAGTACATGGGCTGTAATATTAGATGTTGGTATGGAAAATCCCCTCACCCCCCCCCCCCCCCCCCCCCCCAGATCTTCATGACTTCTTCTCAATGACCCCCTTTCATTTTTAAAAAATCTCTGGAATTTTAGCACTATTGCAAAATTGCCATAAACAACTATGATAGTATTGCTGTGCCCCAAGTAAAAACAGATGGATACTGTCACAGCAATTTAGAGCAACAGTGCCACAGTTCTAGTGAGATTTTTAAAAAACAATTTCTGCAGAAAGTTTGTCTGGAGACGATTGGGCAAATGGTAAATGAAGTGGAGGCATGTAGCCACAAAACAGGCATGTAGCCACCATGCATTGCCCATGTCATAAGGTATTGCCTCAAAATTAAATGAATCATGCCATTACCTGCACATGTTGATATGGAATTCAAAATGTAGGGAAATATAACCGAACAGAAAAAGCATTCAGCTAAGGAGTAAAAAGTTGTGGCAACTGATGGGAGTCACTGAACCAAGAGAACCATTGTTAGGATGTTGAAAATAATGCGAGTGTGGAGAAGAATAAACCACTGACCACCTGCTGCAATGCAACCTGAGCCCTGCTACCTGCACAATGGGGGACCTTCTGGCAGCAACACCAGAGGCACTCCAAGTGGCCAGATACTGGTCAAAGGACATTTAATCAACTACCAAGCTTGCAAACTTTGTGCTTTGTCTGTTTGGTTTTGTTAAAAATGTAATACAAATGTCTGGTTGCTCCTGACACGATAAATAAATAAATAAATAAATAAATAAATAAATAAATAAATAAATGAAGGGCACTGCAGACTACTTCAACCAGAGAAGTCAGCCATTGCAGAGCACTTGATGAATCAACCTGGACACAGCATATTATTTGAGAACACAGAAATACTGGACCACTCTAAAAACTATCATGTCAGACTACACAGATAAGCCACTGAAATCCACAAGCTTGTGGACAATTTCAACAGAAAAGGAGAAATCATGAAAATAAACAATTTCACCTCTGGAGTTTGATGATTATTTTTGAACAGTACTGATATTTCTTAAAGAGGCACATTTCAACCATCTATATAAATAAAAATGTAATGTTCGTTTGTGGGATTAACAGAACTTAAAAACTCCTAGACGAATTGACACCAAATTTGAACACAAGACACCAACTAAAGCAATGTATGTCCTTCACTCAAAAAACAAACACAATTTAACCCAAAAGAACTTAAACCTCCACAAACCTAAATGACTATACAGAGCATGTGTTAAAAGAACACTCTCCTCTGAGCCTCCCTCCTGCACGAGGGGGAAAAAAAAACAGCTAAGAGAGAGGTAGCTTGAGAGAGGGAGGGAAAGGTGGCTGGTATATCCCTCTTGATACCCCCTACCTCTTTCTTCCAAAGGATTCAGAAAGAGGGAAGGAGGGAGAGAGAGAGAGGGAGGGAGGGAGGACACCCTCCTCCAGATCCACTCCCTCCCTTTCCTTCCTTTCCTTTCCCTCTTGGGTCTTGGCTATTGGCAGCATGGAGGTGCCTCCGCTGGGCTGCTGGGAAATCACAAGGGAGGGATTCTGTGTGTGTGTGTGCCCAGAAAGCTCATCCATATTGAGTTATGGGAAGGAGTTCTGGGAAATGAAGTCCAGTATTCAAAGAAAGAACAAAAACACATGCTCTGTGAGTTAGGAAAGGCTGTCCAGGAAAGAAGGTACAATCAAAACACTCCTGAAAGATGGCCATTCATTTTTACTTTATAGCAACCCTGGGCTATAATATAGCTACAATAATAATAGTATCTATATATCTATGATAATATCTATAAGTCTATAATATATATATGTCTATGATATCTATATGTCTATAACAATAATATCTACATGTCTATAATATCTGTATGTCTGTAATAATAATGTCTATATGCCTATAATAATATCTATAGGTCTATAATATCCATATGTCTATAATTATAATATCTGTCTATCAATAATATCTATACATCTATAATAATACCTATATGCCTATAATATCTGTCTATAATAATAATATCTATATACAAATAATATGTATACATCTATAATAATAGCTATATAATATCTATAATAATAATAACAATAATAATAATATCTATATGCCTATAATAATATCTATAGGTCTGTAATAATATCTATACATCTGTTGCCCATTTTTGCTCAAAAGATATTTAGCCCTGTGCTCCTATTTTTTATCAGTTTTATATTAATTTATGTAATGCTTTTTGATACGAAATAAATAAATAAAATCTATAATAATAATACCTATATGCCTTTAATAATAACATTTGTGTCTATAGTAATATCTATATGACTATAATGATAACAACAATAATAATACCTATATAATATCTTTGAACTTGGTTATATGGCAGTGTGGACTCAGGTAACCCAGGGCCCTTCCACACATCCATATAACCCTTTGGCCTCAAGGAGACTGAAATAGGCTTATATTAGGTTGACACTTTGCCACTTCAGTTGTGTATTGATAGCTTAGAAACCAGCTCTTCCTCTTTTCTTTCTTTCCCATTTCTCCACAATGGGCCACAGCAACGCGTGGCCGGGTATATCTAGTTAGACTATAAAGCAAGAAGCAACGTGTACTTCAAAGTGCTTTTGCTTTTTTCTTGCCTGGTATTCTCTTCACCTCTAGTTCAAACATTTGGAAAGACACGTTTTTCTTTTCTGTGAATGATTTTTGTAGTGCAAACTTGCTGGGGAGGAGTGGGGTTGCACAGAAATGTGCACTGAACACCATTGCTACTTTCCACCGTTCGTTATAGAGATTTCTCATTTTTCATATTCCCCCTTTTTTGGTATAAAATGCAAAAGGGAAGTAGAAGTGTGTAGGAACTTAGAATACATTTGAAAGCAACTGATTTATTTTTGAATGAGCCTTTATTGATGTTAAACTTCTTCTTCCTTTTCTAGATTACTGATCAATGCAAAAGGCAGTGTTGTCTTGTTCCAGTTTGAGGAGGTGGAGTGGGACCACACACAAACTACTGATCGAGTAATGAAAAGAAAAGACAAGGGCAAAGTTGAAGATGTATCACTTCGAAGTAAGCCACCCCTGCATTCACGTTCTGAGAGGCAAAAACAAGCAAAGAAGAACATTTGGAAGCTGTACAGCACAGAAAAGGATGCCGCAATGCTTTCTCAAAAGCCCACAAAACGTCCCAGCACCACTCCAGGTACGTTTGATTAAATATTTCACGAGTCCCTTTCCATATGTGGATGGGAAAGCACGAAGACGAAAAGAAGGGAAGAGTTTTCCTTTTAAAAATTATCCAGTGAAGTCTAGATAGCTTCACTCTTTTTCAGTTGGAGATACAAAAATTGCATCTGGAAACCCATGAAATTATGGTCTTGAGGATCCAAACTTCCCATTTCTCATATGTTGTGATGACTGAAAAAGATTATCCAGCTCATGACATAAGCAATGAGGTATGCAAGTGGTCAAATAATCAGACCACTGTTTTGTCACTCAGCCATGGCAGTGTAAACTGAACACAGCTCACATCTTAGTGTGTGAATCAGCTCTGAGTACGTATACTAAACAAATAATAGTAAAAAAAACCTTTATATATATATTCCGCTCTATCTCCCCAAAGGGACTCAGGGTGGATTGGAAAAGAGGGAGTTTCAAGCAGTTATTGATAGAGATAGGCACAATTATTCATAGGTGTGAGACCTCACAATATGTTACACATAATTTATGCTCAGCTTCAGAATATCTAATCTCAGCATAATCTCCAATATTAAAGAGGTCTGCTTGTGCATATGATCTCATAAAGATCCACTGAATTGCTATACTGAGATACATTTGGATCTCAACAAATTACAAAAAATTATATAAGTATGAGCAAAAAAATATCAGGAATGGGAATGAACAAGGACAGTGTGAACAAACAGAAGGACAATGTTTGGCATGCTCTAGTTTTCAGTTTTAGGTGAGTAGAACTACTTATGGGAGCTGGTTACAGGAAGCGGTCTACTCCCGTTTAAACAGCTCCACTGGCTTCCACTAAGCTTCTGCTCCCAATTCAAGGTGCAGGTTATCACCTATAAAGTCCTAAATGGTTTGTGTCCTGCCTATCTTCGCGATCGCATCTTCCCCTATGAACCAGTGCGTACCCTGAGATCATCTGGGGAGGCACTGCTCTCTCTCCCTCCGCTGTCTCAAACATGGTTGGTGGGGACGAGGGAGGGGGCCTTCTCGGTGGTGGCCCCCGGCTCTGGAAGTCCCTCCTTAGAGAGATCAGATAGGCTCCTACTTTGTCCTCTTTCCAGAGACAACTAAAAACCTGGATGTTTGGGTGTGCTTTTGATTAAGCAGTCCACCAGTAATTTTTCCTGTCCCTACTTTAAGTTCAGCACTTTATGTCGGCCCTCTTATCGTCCAGCTCAACACTTCTGATGACACTATTCCCAGTCCTGTCTACTTGATTGTTGCACTTTCCTTGCACTCCCTTCAGGATGTATTGCACTCATTGAGCCTGAACCTCAGCTATGTTCTTTTTCTCAGCCATATTGTTTTGATGTTGTTTACAATTGTGATTGTTTTTATATTTTATCTGTTGTTTTTAATTAGTTGTGTTCTATTTGTAATTTTTGGGCTTGTCCCTTGTAAGCCGCCCCGACTCCCCTTGGGGAGAAGGTTGGCAGGCTATAAAAATAAAGATAATGATGATGATGATGATGATAATAATGCACTGAACTGGAGCTTGCAAGACGGATGATACATAGACAGGGCAGTATACTCAGTCTTAAATGATTAGACACACCACTGTCTTTTATTTTTAGTTTCATATGTTATACACTCAACTGTTAGAAATAATATCAGAGATACTGATACTGAAAATTCATTTTGTTTTAGCATTTTTCAAAAGACATATCATTAATGTGTTCTCAATATTGGTTTGAAAAGACCTAAAATACTGCATACATATTTCTTTAAAATTTCTAAATAATATTTCTAGTCCTTCTCTGTTCTGCCCCACTCCAGTATTTGAAGATCTCATTCGGGAGTGCAATTGTTTCAAATAAACTGAAACTGTTTGATTTTTTTTTATTGCTGGCCCCTCACTCTGCATTTCTTAGGCATTGGATGGAACAAAAATATTTAAATGACTAAAACAGTGTAAACTTTGAAATACTTTCCCTTTGATACAAAACTAAGGGTTTTTTTTGGGGTGGGGGCTTGATAAAGGTATGAATGAGAGAGGAGTCTTTCAAGGCAGGATTTTGTTAAATATGGAGTTGTCCTGCAAGATCTAGGGTCAGCAGCCATGCACCTGGTCAAAAATGACATAATTGCAAGGGTTTCCTGGGAAGATCTTAGTTAGTAAGCAAGAATGGATGGGTCATTTGTTGCATTAACTAAGGTAAGTCCAAACCATGTAAGGTTTTTAAAGGTTAAGCCCAGCACCTTGGCTTATTTCAGAAAAAGAGTTTAGTAAACAACATAGAAAGCCAGCTGTGGTGGAGTAGTCTGAGCACCAGATTGTGGGTGCATCTACATTGTACACTCAGTGCAGTTTGACATCTCTTCAACTGCTATGGATTAGTGCTATGGAATCTTGGGATTTGTAATTTGCTGAGTCATTGACATTTTTGGGAAGAGAAGGTTAAAGATCTTGTAAAACTAAACTCCCAGAATTTGGTGACATTGAGCCATAGAAGTTAAAGTGGTGTCAAACTACATTATACAGTTTAGATGCATCCTAAGACTCTTGAGACCAGGTTTCGAATCACCACTCAGCCATGGAAACCCACTAAATGGCTTTGGGCAAACCACATTCTCTCGGTCTCAGAGGAAGGTGAAGGTAAAACCCTTCAGAACAAATCTTGCAATATCACAAACATTGTGGTAGGGTCACCTTATGACCACCGTACATCAGCATGGCTTAATGACACACAGCAACAACACTGTAGTATAGTGGTAAACTATGCTTTTTTTCTTCCAGCTCTTCAATATGAAATGATGAAGACACCTCCTCCTAGAGAAAGGGGAGGTACACTAGCCTTGAGTGTCAGTTCAACAGAGAAACAAAAGATCTCTTTCCTTGCTAGGACATTACAGTGTCCAGAATCTACATCACCTCGAAAAGGTTCTCGGGGTAAGGAACTTAGATATAGTTTATGAAACCACATTTAAAGGTGCAGATAGTTCCTGATAAACAGGCATAGGCTATAGGAAGAAATTAGTGCATCAGAAGAGCAAAATGTTTTTGCAAATAGGTACTAAATGTGGATGGTGTGGGGGGAATTATGTTAGCATTTGCATCCTATTTTTAAAAATACTTGTAATTTAACATTTGTTTATCATCTAGGTCACTACTTCTTAAAATGTCCCCTTTGCACAATGTTGGGGTCCAAAAGAATTAGGCAAGAGAAAATGTTTTCTGAATGTCACCTAGTGGCTGCTTTAGACATTTACACAAACCTGTCATGCAAAAACTTGCCTGTCTGAAAGGGGCCTGAAGTTGAAAAGTTTAAGAAGCCCTGATTTAGCTAAGAGTGTGACCCTGAAATATACTTTTAAATGTTGCTATATTTATAGCCACTAGATGGCAGCACTTCACCAAATTAAGAACTATCTCATCTATTAGTTTACACCTCCCAGACCTTATCCAATCTCTGAATTGCAACTCCACCACTTTCTTATGTTAGGAATTGCTGATATGTTCATTTAATTTAAATTCTTCATTTAACTTTAAAGAAAACTAGGTTAACCTTTTAATTCTTTTTTTAAAATAGCTTGATTATCCTTTTTTATTATTTAGCACAGGTTAGTTCTCTTCTCCCCTCTCTTGTTAATACATCCAGCAAATTCTGAAACCGGTTTGGGGCACAAATGGTGATTACATAAACCACAGCACACTGATACGCCTTAAGAGCCAACTTTTTGTTGTCTAGGACAGAATTTCTCAAACTGGGATCCTCCAGATGTTTTGGACGTTAGCTCCCACAATTCCTAATAGCTGGTGAACTGGCTGGGATTTCTGGGAGCTGAACTCCAAAACACCTGGACAAGCACAGTGTGAGAAACACTGGTCAAGGAGCCACAGTTTGAAGCTAGCTTCGAAGTGTATTCAGTGGTCAGTGTAGCTAAGTCCCTTTACTTGCTTTGAATGGCACAAGGACTCCAAGATGATGCACCTACCATTTCCCAGTCTATTTCTCCAGTCCGTGTTATCAGCTTTGAACTGGATTATATGAGTCTACATTGCTAGATAATCTGAGATAAGAAGACAATCTGGAATCAGATCCTGGGATATAGGGCAGTGTCGATCAAGCCACAGTCTAAATAAATGTATTGCTATTTTCAATGGCTATTTAGTGACCAAAACAAGAACAGTAGCTGGGAGGAAGGGAACATAAAAGTCTATGGGCGCATCTAGACAGCCCCTTTCATGCAGGAGTTACCGCAATAAAAAGGGGGCCGTTCAGATGACGTCCTGGACAAACCTGAATTAATTTGCCACAAACCAGGAAAACCCTGGTTTGTGGTGAATTAATTTGATAGTGAATTTATTCTGTGCCTTCTTGGAAAGTGTGGGATAAACCCACTACTTCTGGTATCTGGACTGCCGCCCAGACAGTAGCCCCAGAGGTTTCTGGACTAAATTAGCCTGGAAAACTGTGAGAATACTAAGCCCCTCCCCAAAAGTGGCCAAAGCACTGTAAAAAACAAAAGAACTTTCCCGGCCTCCATTAGAGGGCTGCCGGAGCTCTCCTGGGACGTAGAAAGACATACGAGAAGAAGGGGGGGGGGAGCAATTTCTACGTGCCAGGACAGCTCTGGCAGCCCTTTAATGGGGGCCAGGTAAGTTCTGTTATGGATTATTTGAAAACAAACAAAATGCGTGCAGTCCTGTCCAGACTTGCCCAGCCCTTTTGTGCATCCACAATGTGCAAATATGAGCCAAGAAAATGGGAAAATCAAAATTTACTCTTAACTAGCAGAGTCAAGGAGAAAATTAAACAAGAAGCTTCAAAAACACAAAACCTCCATTTCAAAATAGGTCAGTCCATCTGGAGCAACAAATTCACAAAGTTATTTGCATTAAATTCATGCATCTTCTTTGGAGATTTCTTCTTCATTCAATGGTGCGAGGAGACAAGCATAGTAGGCTCTCAGCCAGGAACTTACTCTGAGTAAGTTCTGAAGCAAGTGGTTCAGTAAGTCCCAGAATCCATTACAAGCATTCCCCAAGTTATACCCCATTCAGGGAGTGGTTCAAACTTGTTATCCTTGATTGTCCTAATTACCTGACTATGAATTGTGATTGATCAGGTGTTTTTCCCTTAACACACACACAGAAGTGGTGATCCCACAGAAACTTAGTCAAATACACGCATATGCAGTAATAAGTTCTTTTGTTTTTACAGTGCTTTTGGGAAGGGTGTTAGAGTGAGTATTTGGTTGTTCTCTCAGGAAGTTTCAGAGGAACATCTGGATACCCACCACAGAAAACACGTGCTTTCTGGGGTGTGTGTAAATAGGGGTCCAGGAACATCCGTGCTTTTTAAATGCAGATGCTCCTGGGATAAAGGGCTGTGTGAAGCAAGCTATATCTTCAAAGTTTTCCATCTACACTGCCATATCATGCATTCTGAAACTGCATTATATTGTCAGTGTAGACTCATATAATGCAATTCAATGTTGTTAAACTACATTATATGAGTCTATGGCCCCTTCCACATAGCTGAATAAAATCCCACATTATCTGCTTTGAACTGGAAGATATGGCAGTGTGGACTCAGATAACCCAGTTCAAAGCAGATATTATGGGAATTTCTGCTTTGATATTCTGGGTTATATGGCTGTGTGGAAGGGCCCTATGTTGACTATATCATACAGTTTCAAACTGGATTATATGGTAGTGTAGATGGGGCTGCAGCCTCCTAATTTTCTCTCAGGTCTTATCTACTCTGCCATATATTCCAATTTGAAACTGAACTATATGGTAAGTGTAGACTCACATAATGCATTTCATTGTTAACCTGCAATTTATGAGTCTACGTTGACTATAGTAGAAAAACATACAAGGAAATGGAGAAGATAGCTTAAATTACAGCATCACAAGCTAATTTGAGTACAATAATAAATACATTATACTTAAAACCAAAAGAAGAAAAACAAAAATTATATAAAAATCCTGTACACACTTTCTGCATTTTCCAAAAAGCAAACAAGAGCCTGTTTTAAGCCTAATTTCAATATAATGACAACAACAACAACATAGCTTGTGGATTTCCATTCCAGCATGGAGATCTCAAAGTTATTTGGTCTATTTATTGGGAACCTGATAACTAACTTTTCCCAAATTTTTCCCTCTCTTCCCCACTCTTCTAATCTTCCGCCTTATTTATTATTTATTTTTTTAAAAAACAGCTGGTCCAATAAGGAAGGAGCATCCTGCCGGTGCCACCTTTGGCTATAATGCTGAGGCGTTCATCAACTATGTGAAACGGAAACGTCCTCTTGGGCCCATAACTAATGACCAGTTACTCCTCACCATCAGCACACTGCATCATGCCTACAAGACTGACCAAATCAGTGCCAACATGGCCTACAATATGGAAATCAAGGATGCCTGGGGTCCCAACCGCCTCCAGAAAGATAGGTCCATAAAGATTCAGATCCCCCAAAGTGAAAAACAAGAGAAAACGAGTCCTTCCACCAAGGCAGAAGACCTAAAGCCTGTTTGTGGCACTGTGGGCATGGAAAGGATTTCCACACCTTTTGAAACTAAAACTCTGCAGCTCAACTTGAAGAACTCCTTGCTTGCAGGTACTGTAAAGTCCTTCATTCCTACTCCCACCATTACCCGCTCCAAGTCATGCACCAGCTTGTCAGGAGAAAAGAAAGTGCGCACAGGCCGTGCAAAGGTCCCTTCTCCACCTGATGTTGGGGGGCAGCTCATTGGCCATTTTATAACCACATGTGACTCCATCAAAATACCACGGATGAAGATTGGCCATCCTAATGCAGAAACAAGTTCACGGCGAGGAAAACTCTTATACACTCACACACCAAATCCATACCGAATGAATACTGGATTCAGGCTTTTGACCACACAACAGATGAAAGAGTATGAAGAAGCAAAGCTATCCGAGTATCAGGCAAACAAAACAAAGGTTATAGCAAACAGAGAAAAAGAGTGCAGGAGTGCCTGGTTAAGAAAAATTAAAGGACTTTCCATAGATGACTATACAAAAGGAAACAAAGTGGCTGCCCCTGAATTGGGAGAGAATGTTTTTATCTGAGCACAGCTTTTCAAAGTTTCAAACTATCCCAGACAAGCAAGAACAAAATAAATCTGCTGCTAGCAGGTTTGCGGCTGTTTATACATTTGCTCTGTGCTGTATGTATATATATATATATATTATCCCTTTCAAGTGACTGTGACAAATCCAAACTAATGATTCACATCTTTGAAGAGTTGACATATGGCACACTGGAGTACATCTGGATGAGGGCCTGTAAACAAACATTCTCGTTTGCAAATATATGTACTTGTAAAATGCTCCTTGGAGAAAAGCTTATTAGCATGACAGTACACTGATTCTGTTTCTAAGTTTTTCTCCAGAGGGTATGTGAACACTCCTTGGGCTTGTCTTTCAGTGAAATTCTTAACAAATATGTCAAAATATGCAGCAAAGATGGCAACCTCTAGGCGTCTGACAGCCACCAAAAATTATGTAGGTTAATCAAATAAAGTACCCTGCAACAATGGTAGTATTTTTGCTTTTAAATGTTTGGCTTTCTATTTGAATCTGATTCTCAGTGGCAAATATAAAGTAGACTTTTATGACTAGTCCATTCTGTTCTATAGCTTCCACTGAAATACATCCCTTGAAGACCAGACTTGCAGGCTGGTTGAGAGGAGTTGGTTTTCTTACCCTCCTTATTAGGAAGTTCAGCAGGTTGATTTTGTCTAGATGTGATACAGCAGTGATTCAGATGTTCATCCTCAAGCCCTGACTTGTATACAAAGTCTGCATAATCTGGGAGAGATTAGCAATTGAGGAGATAGATCTTGTCCCATATGAAAGAAAAGTCAAACAACTCTTATCTAACCAAAAAATGAAAGGTCATAAATGATTAATTGGATGAAGTGAGGAGTCATAAGAGAAAATTATCAGGGTTTGTTTGTTTTTTGTTTGTTTGCTAAATTGGAAATGGCACATACAACATGCTTGCTATGCTTTCTTTTTTCTGCCATTTTAAAATGATGTTTTAGCATGATTCCATTGCTGTGTATGTTCATAGAATTGGAATAAACTGTTTGCTTTTCATTGACCACTGAGTTGCCTTACCATCACTAATGAGTTCTTGATTTTCTTACTAAAATGCATGTATTCCTGTACAGGCTATTGTGATGATCTAGTGTTTCTGTACTTTCAATCTCACAATATAAGGCAGGCTGCCGGGATTCCTCAGAGAAATACTCACCCATTTTGTAAATAAAATATTAAGTTCTCAATACATAGGATGTGAGCCTTAGACACCAACCATCTATATATATAAATCTGTTAGGTTGGTTCAACGGGACAGCAAAACTCCACAACCCCTCAACGAAACTGCACCAAAATTGCCATGCCCATAACACAACCCACAAGGTACAAACATATCTACTCAAAATGAAAAACAACACAACAACACACTCACAAAACTGCAAAACAACAAAACTCAAAACACCCCCAGCGAAACATAACCAAAATTCCCATGCCCATAACACAACCCACAAGGTACAAACATATCTACTCAAAATGAAAAACAACACAACAACACACTCACAAAACGGCAAAACAACAAAACTCAAAAAAACCCCCAACGAAACTTAACCAAAATTCCCATGCCCATAACACAACCCACAAGGTACAAACATATCTACTCAAAATGAAAAACAACACAACAACACACTCACAAAACGGCAAGACAACAAAACTAAAAAAAACCCAATGAAATTTAACCAAAATTCCCATGCCCATAACACAACCCACAAGGTACAAACATATCTACTCAAAATGAAAAACAACACAACAACACACTCACAAAACGGCAAAACAACAAAAAAAAAACCAACGAAACTTAACCAAAATTCCCATGCCCATAACACAACCCACAAGGTACAAACATATCTACTCAAAATGAAAAACAACACAACAACACACTCACAAAACGGAAAAACAACAAAACTCAAAAAAACCCCAACGAAACTTAACCAAAATTCCCATGCCCATAACACAACCCACAAGGTACAAACATATCTACTCAAAATGAAAAACAACACAACAACACACTCACAAAACGGCAAAACAACAAAACTCAAAAAAACCCCAACGAAACTTAACCACACACACACACAAAACCCCACGCTCCATCACTCCCCCCCGCCGCACACACACACACAACCCCACGCTCCATCACTCCCCCCGCCGCCGCACACACACGCAACCCCACTCCCCCCGCCGCCGCACACACACGCAACCCCACGCTCCATCACTCCCCCCGCCGCCGCACACACACACGCACCCCCACGCTCCATCACTCCCCCCCGCCGCACACACACACGCAACCCCACTCCCCCGCCACCGCACACACACACGCAACCCCACGCTCCATCACTCCCCCCGCCCCCCCCCGCACACACCCCACACTCCATCACTCCCCCCCGCCGCACACACACACGCAACCCCACTCCCCCCGCCGCCGCACACACACACGCAACCCCATGCTCCATCACTCCCCCCGCCGCCGCACGCACACACGCAACCCCACTCCCCCCGCTGCCGCACACACACACGCAACCCCACGCTCCATCACTCCCCCCGCCGCCGCACACACACACACGCAACCCCACGCTCCATCCCCGCCACCGCACACACACACGCAACCCCACGCCCACACCCCCCGCCGCCGCACACACACACGCAACCCCACGCTCCATCACTCCCCCCGCCCCACACACACACGCAACCCCACTCCCCCGCCGCACACACACACGCAACCCGACGCTCCATCACTCCCCGCTGCCACACACACACGCAACCCCACGCGCCTCACTCCCCCCGCCGCCACACACACACAACCCCACGCTCCATCACTCCCCGCCGCCGCAAACACACACGCAACCCCACTCCCCGCCGCCGCACACACACACGCAACCCCACGCTCATCACTCCCCCGCCGCCGCACACACACACAACCCACTCCCCCGCCGCACACACACACGCAACCCCACGCTCCATCACCCCCCCCGCCGCCACACACACACACGCAACCCCACTCCCCCCGCCGCCGCACACACACGCAACCCCACGCTCCATCACTCCCCCCGCCCGCACACACACACGCAACCCCACGCTCCATCACTCCCCCCGCCGCCGCACACACACACACAACCCCACGCTCCATCACTCCCCTGCCCCAATCTTACCTCCTTTTACTTCACGCCACCTCCAAACCCCACCCCGCCCCTTCCCGCCCTGTCAAAATCCAGGAAAGACGGGAAGGAAGGAAAGAAGGAAGAAAGAGAAAGGGAGGTAAAGAAAAAGGGGGAAGGAAGGAAAGTTAGAGAAAGAAGGAAGAAGAAAAGGAAAGAAAAGGAAAGATGGAAGGAAAGAAAAGAGAGACAGCAGAAGAGAAAGAAAAAGGGGGAAGGAAGGAAAGAGGTAGAGAAGGAAGAAATGAGAGACAGAGGGAGGGAAAGAAAAAGGGGAAGGAAGGAGAGAAGGAAAGAAAAAAGGGAATGAAGGAAGGAAAGAGGGAGTGAAGGAAGGGGGAAGATGTAGAGAAAGAGGGAGGAAGGAAAGAAGGAAAGAGAGAAGGAAGAAAAGACCAGAAGAGAAAGAAAAAGGGGGAAGGAAGGAAGGAAGAAAGAAAGAAAAAAGGGAATGAAGGAAGGAAAGAGGGAGTGAAGGAAGGGGGAAGATGTAGAGAAAGAGGGAGGGAAGGAAAGAAGGAAAGAGAGAAGGAAGAAAAGAGACCAGAAGAGAAAGAAAAAGGGGGAAGGAAGGAAGGAGAGAAGGAAAGAAAAAAGGGAATGAAGGAAGGAAAGAGGGAGGGAAGGAAGGGGGAAGATGTAGAGAAAGAGGGAGGGAAGGAAAGAAGGAAAGAGAGAAGGAAGAAAAGAGACCAGAAGAGAAAGAAAAAGGGGGAAGGAAGGAAAGAGATAGAGAAGGAAGAGGAAAAGGAAAGATGGGAGGGAAGGAAGGAGGGAAAGAAGGAGAGAAAGAGGGAAGGAAAGAAGGAAAGAGAGGAGGAAGAAAAGAGACCAGAAGAGAAAGAAAAAGGGGGAAGGAAGGAAAGAGATAGAGAAGGAGGAGGAGAAGGAAAGATGGGAGGGAAGGAAGGAAGGAAGGAGGAAAGAAGGAGAGAAAGAGGGAAGATTGGCCACAGCAACACGTGGCGGGTAAAGGTTGTTATTTCTATTATTATTATTATGCTATTATTCCTATGAGACCCTTTTAGGGGGAATGGGAGAGGTGTCAGGTCCCAGAGGCAATGCATTGCATTATTGTTATTGTTATGATGGTGGTGAAATAAAAGGAAATAAAAAGTGAAAGAAGGAAGCAAACAGGGAGGGAAGAAAGGCAAAGGAAGAAAGGGGGAGGGAATGAAGGAAAGAGAGGAAGGATGAAACCAAGTAGTGAAAGAAGGAAAGAAAGAAAGAAAGAAAGAAAGAAAGAAAGAAAGAAAGAAAGAAAGAAAGAGGTAGAGAAGGAAGAAAGGAGAGAAAGGGGGAGGAAAAGGGGGAAGGAATAGGTCCAGATATCTACCTCAACTTTGATAAGTTTTACTATAGGCCACAGCAACGCGTGGCAGGGCACAGCTAGTATATGTATAAATCAGGGTAGGGTAGGGTGGGGTGGGGTGGGGTGGGGTAGGGGAGGGTTCATGTAAAAGGTTGAGCCCAAACACTTAACTGAAGTTATATTTGAGTCACTCTGGCATCTCCACTGTATGTAGCATAACTTTGGACTTGTTTAAAAACAATGGTGGTGGCAGCTTTAGCTTTCCAACCTCTTCTCATATATTGTGTTCTCCACACATCTTACAATCTTTGTTGCCTTTCTCTGAATCTGTTCCAATTTATTTACCTCCTTCCTCCTGGTCATCCTGATAATAATTTCTATGCATTGGATTCAGCTTTGAATGTGGATAGGAATGCATTTCTAAAGCTCTCTTCTGTTCAGCTCTATTTCCAGAAAGAAAGGTGGGAGTGGGGGGAGAGGAACCGGATTTGTCCCACCCTGGCTACACAATTAGGGGCACAGACCAGATAGCACTTCCCAAAATCAAAATTAGTGCCAACACAAAACAGGATCAGATCAGGTGGCTGACTGTATACACAGTAGACAAGATTCACTGAATGCTACAAACATCAAAATCACATGGAATTCAGTCCCAGTCTCACCTAAATCTGCAAATATAATAGGCTCTAATGAGAGGCTATTATAGTGCATTCTCAGCAGCACATTTTTCATAATTTGCCCATTTTTCCTTGGGTGCAACTACACTGCCAAAATAATGCAATTCAACACCACTTTAACCACCATGGCTCAACAATGTGGAATCATGGGAGCTGTAGTTCAGCCTTGTCTGCCAAAGAGAGCTGGTGCCTCACTAAACTACAACTCCTATGATTCCATAGCATTGAGCCATGGCAGTTAAAAGCGGTATCAAACTGCATTATTTCTATAGTGTAAATGCACTCCTTATCGTGGAGTGGGCAGTGGCACAGTGAGAATGGTATTTTGCAATGTACCATAATCTGTTAACATTGGGGACATTTGTGAACTCATGAGGCTATTTCATAAGTAAGGATTACTAAAAGCATTAATATTTGCACAAAGACTGAAGTAAAAGACTTTGCTTTTATGTTTTAAGCTCTTTCACACTCCCCAATTAGAGTAGCAGGATTCCACTTCAACTGCCATGTCTCCATCAACTGAATCCTGGAATTTGCACTCCAAAGAGAGTTTTTAAAATGATCAGCTGCAGGGATTCAGTGCCCCTGGCCAGACTACAAATCCCGGAATGTCTTAGAACGAAGCCATTACATGTAGCATCATGGTACTTCAATGGTGTGGCGTGAATGAGCCCTTCATTTATAATAATGTCACCACACTGCTCTGTTATAGTACTATTCTTCTTCTTCAAATACCATAGCAACAATCTGTGGAATTAGGGGGTTTGCAGCTTAGTGGGGTTCAAGGGCTCATTGGCCGACAATTCCCAGTATCCTCCTGCAAATTGAAAATCCCATGGCCATTATTGTGGATTAATAGCCCCACAGCAGTGTCATGAGATAAGGCCCTAAATATAACGCCTCCCACGTGTTATCTTCAGAATTGATGCAGTCTGTAAAAGTAAAGGTTTCCCCTTGAAATTAAGTCTAGCCATGCCCATGTCTGACTTTGGGGGATGGTGCTCACCTCCATTTCTAAGCCGAAGAGCAGCGTTGTCCATAGAGACCTTCAAGATCAGGTGGCTAGCATGACCTCATGGAGCATCGTTACCTTCCTGCAGAAGTGCTACCTGTTGATCTACTCACATTTGCATGTTTTCCAACTACTAGACTGGCAGAAGCTGGGGCTAACAACAGGTGCTCAGCCTGTCCATGGATTCGAAACGCCGACTTTCCAATCAGCAAGTTCTGTAGCTTAGCAGTTTAACTCATTGCGCCACCACTGCCCCAATGCAGTCTGACAACAATACCATGTATTTATCGTGTCAGAAGTTAATTGAGAATACAGTTATAATGTATAAAAAACACAAAGTTAAAAACTTTGCATTATGCCAAATTTCCCTTGACCAGAAGCTGGCCACTTTAAGTGCCTCTGGTGTCGCTGTAAGAAGGCCCTTCATTGTGCATGTGGTGAGGCTCAGACTGCATTGTAACAGGTTGTCTGTGGTTTGTTCTTCTCCACACTCGCCTGTTGTGGACTCCATTTTGTGGCCCTATTTCTTAAAGTTGGCTCTGCCTCTCGTGGTGCTGGAGTGCAGTCTGTTCAGCGCCTTCCAAGTCACCCAGTCTTCAGTGTGCCCAGGAGGCAATTTCCCATCTAATATTAGCCACTGATTGAGGTTCTGGGTTTTAACCTGCCGCTTTTGGACTCTCGCTTGCTGAGGTGTTCCTGCGAGTGTCTCTGTAGATCTTAGGAAGCTGTTTCTTGATTTAAGACTTTGGCATGCTGGCTGATATCCGAATAGAGGATGGGCTGGAGATGCTGATGCCTTGGTCCTTTCATTACAGACTGCTACAGATGACAGGTGGTGCCATGAATAATGCCATGAAACCCTGGGATTTGTAGTTTACTAAGGCACCAACACTCTTTGGCCGAGAAGGCTAAAGAAGACCTTCCAAAATGGAAACACCCAGGAACCCATGAGCCTTGAGCCATGGCAGTTAAAGTTGAGTCAAACTGCATCTATTTTACAGTGTAGATGCACCCTGTGTGGACGTGTATGGTTGCCTGCTGACTCATGGCAATATCATGACTTTCACGGAGTTTGGTCAGAGAAGAAAGGAATCTTCTTTTATGTAGTGGTGTCAGTTCCTCCCTCTGAAATAAATCTGACAGTCTTGATCCTGCTGAGAGGCGCGCTTTAGACTTCCAGGGAGTCGCATTGCTACCGGAAGTTGAAGGAGCGCGCCTCTCTACAGTGTCTGCCTATCTCTTGGTGCCCGGCGCGCCCGTCGCACAGTGAGAGCGTCAGCGGAGTCTGTCGGCGTGACGTGGCCAAAGGCGGAAGCGATGCTGCGGCAGGTGAGGACGCGGGGTTTGGCGGGGAAGGGGAGGAGGATTGTTAAACCCCGCTTTGAAGACTGGGGTTGGAGTGGCTGTCTTTGTATTCTGCATGCAGAAGGAGATGGGACTCAAGTCTAAACACGGCATGGGTGCATGTTTCATATTTATCTAATATCTAGGCTAGGCCTGGGCAGACTTGGGCCCTCCAGGTGTTGTGGACTTCAACTCCCACCATTCCTAACAGCCTCAGGCTCTTTCCTTTCCCCCCTCAGCCGCTTAAGTTTGATTTAAGATTATATAACCCATTTCCCTAGTTTCCAGCAGACCTCACAACCTCTGAGGATACCTGCCATAGATGCAGGAGAAACGTCAGGAGAGCATGCTTCTAGGGCATGGCCATACAGCCCGAAAAACCTACAACAACCCAGTGATTCCGGCCGTGTAATCCTTCGACAATACACAAAAAGGATTGTTTTATTTTCCCCGTGGCGCAAAGCATCCCAAGGAGCCCTAATAGGAGCCACCCCGACCTTTCCAAATAAAATGACACCTGAGGTTGACGGAGTCCTGCCATTGGCTTGACACCCCGCAACCATGAGATTAAATGCGTGCGGCAATAATCTAAAATCGATCAATATCTCACTAATATTCCACATGAATAGTGGGAGTTGAAATCCACAACACCTGGAGGGCCCAAGTTTGCCCAGGCCTAGCCTAGATAAATATTTTCAGCATTTTGGTGCCTAAAGCCAAGTTTGTGTAGGTCAAACCACCAGAAAGCAATGGTATCAGTTTCTCGGTGGGCAGTTTTGGAGCATTTCATGTTCCCAGACAAGAGGGAAACTCGACCTGTATTTATTCAGAGAGGGATAGCTAGTACCCAAGAAGACAGGAGCAGAATTCAAAAAAAGATTAGAGAGATGGGCCAAAACTAACAAAATGAATTTCAAATGCAGGATACTCCACTTAGGCAGAAAAAAAAATGAAATGCAAAGATACAGAATGGGTGACACCTGGCTCGATAGCAGTACGTGTGAAAAAGATCTTGGAGTCCTCGTGGACAAGTTAAACATGAGCTAACAATGTGATGCAGTGGCAAAAAAAAAGCCAATGGGATTTTGGCCTGCATAAATAGATCCAGGGAAATCATGCTACCCTTCTATTCTGCCTTGGTCAGACCACATCTGGAATATTGTGTCCAATTCTGGGCACCACAATTGAAGAGAGGTACTGATAAGCTGGAATGTGTCCAGAGGAGGGCGACTAAAATGAGCAAGGGTCTGGAGAACAAGCCCTATGGGGAATGGCTTAAAGAGTTGGGCATGTTTAGCCTGCAGAAGAGAAGACTGAGGGGAGACATGATGAGGGCCATGTATAAATATGTGAGGGGAAGTTATAGGGAGGAGGGAGCAAGCTTGATTTCTGCTGCCCTAGGAATGTTTTATATTGGACGCAGAACAATAGCTTTAAGGTACAAGAACGGGGATTCCATCTAAACATTACGAAGAACTTCCTGACTGTGAGAGCTGTTCAGCAGTCGAACTCTCTGACCCAGAGTGTGGTGGAGGCTCCTTCTTTGGAGGCTTTTAAGCACAGGCTGGATGGCCATCTGTCAGAAGTGCTTTGAATGCGATTTTCCTGCTTCTTTGCAGGGGGTTGGGCTGGATAGCCCATGAGGTCGCTTCCAGCTTTATGATTCTATGATTCTCTTTCTGTAACCGTGATAAAGGTATTGATGTCCTTTTACATCAAATCTGTAATGTTTCTGTATGAACTGGGGTAAAGGATCATATCTATAGTGCTTGCATTGCCTTTGGAAACAAAACAATAGAACATTGTTTCTCTCTCTCATATATATATATACGCCAGGTGAAGTTTTGGAAACTATTATTTTGGATCTAAAGTGCATGTGCTCCTCCAGGGACATTTGATCCAGACTCATCCTGCCTTTGCTATATTATTACCCAGGCCATTCAAGACAATTTTACACCACCCTGCTGCTCTTGAATATCAACCCAGTTATAACCTATAATGAGGCCAAGTTTTGTGCAGCAGCACTTAAAATCCATCGGGTGATGACTGGTTCCAAAAGTTAACAATCTAACTATCAGCTAACTGAAATGTAAATCAGTTCTTCCCACCCCAGTCCCCTAGACTTGTGCCCTGAATGCTCCTATCCCTCCATCAATCTCCCTCCCTCTCCATCCATTTTTGGTCTCTTTCCTTTTCTTTTAGATTTTAGTGTACAATGATTTTATGAGACTATACTTCACTCTTCTTATGCTGGTCTATGGCCGTAATAAAAGATATTTGATTTGATCTATGGTACATTTACATAGAATGTGCTTTGACACCACTTTAACTGCCATGGCCCAATGGTAGCTAATAGTTTTACAAATCCTTTTGTCTTCTTTCCAAAGAAAGCTGGTGTTTCACCAAACTGCAACTCCAGTGATTCCACAGCATCAAGCCATTGCAGTTAAAATGGAGTCAAACTGCATCATGACTATTATTTAAATAAAGCGGGCTTCTTTATAACATGCTTTATTTCAAGTAATGTTCATTAAATAGCATTTTACCTTTAAACATCTTGGTTAATGGCTTAACTTCAAATATGTTTCACCTTACCCAGAATGTAAGTGTCTCCTCTAACATTTTGAAGGGTGTGTGTGTATTCTTTTTAATAATAACATATCAGTATTGCTGGGCTGCTGTAAGTTTTTTGGGCTGTATGGCCATGTTCCAGAAGCATTCTCTCCTGACATTTCACCTGCATCTATGGCAGGCATCCTCAGAGGTTGTGAGGCTCTGAGGATGCTTGCCATAGATGCAGGCAAAATGTCAGGAGATAATGCTTCTTGAACATTGTCATACATACCGAAAATCTTACAGCAACCCACTGATTCCGGCCATGAAAGCCTTCGACAATACATATCAGAATCAACTAAGAACTAAACACTCTCTGAATTTGGGTTGTGCTACAATATATTGTTCTCAAATAAAAATAAAATTCCAACTGAGTTGGAAATCTCATCCAGAAAACCACTGGGATACTCATTCTGTGACATACATTGCTTGGGATCACCCCTCCTTTAATTGTTTCAGGTTTGGACTAATTGTTTTCATTATTGCCCCTTGGGATTTTAGAAATAAATGTGAAATGTTTTTTATAATCTGTTTTTTTCTGACTTTAGGACAGTAGTGATGACACAGAAGATGTGTCACTCTTTGATGCCGATGATGAAATGTCTAGGAGACCCAAGAAATCTAAAATCAAGTAAGTGATTGCTATGGTGGCTAGTTAGATATGGCTATCAACTGCCTAGTCCAGTATTTCTCAAACTGTGCCAGATGATTTGAACTTCAACTCCCAGAAATACCAGCTGGTTTACCAGCTGTTAGGGATTGTGGGAGCTGAAGTCTGAAATATCTGGAGGAGATCAGTTTGAGAAACTCTAGCCTAGTAAAACAAATCTGTCAACTTTTATTCTTTGAGTGAGCCTCATTGGATATGCATTTGAGGAAAATGTAAACTTATATTGATTATTCTTGTATGCTGGCTGTCTTGAATGGGAGGCAGCTTATCTTTATAGTTTATATATGTACTTCTAGAGAATTACATAGAAGTATTTCTAATTACTGCAAAGACTGTATGAACAATATTGTTTATATGTAACAGAACATAATTTTGATACATGCAGGGTGTATGCCTGTGGTCTCAATACAGTTTGTCTTGTGATTTCAGTATTTTAAGGAAATATTTTTGTGTGGTATGTCTTACAACTCAAGCTAGTTTTCTTACATGTTCACATTGAAAATCAAATAGTAGTAGTAATAGTTGGCTGTGATAGTAGTAACTGAGTAGTGCAATTATGTGAAAATTATGGTTTAAACTTAGTGAGACTGTGACTAAATATGATCCTCACTGTGGATTATTCTACATTGGAGTTTGGTACAATTTTTACCATTTTAACTGTGATGACTCCATACTATGGAATAATGAGATTTGAAATTTGGTGAGGCACCAGCACTTCGTGGCAGAGAAGGATAAATACCTTGTAAAACTACAGTTCCCATGATTCAGTGGCATCTACAGTGGTATGAAGTTGTACTAATTTTACAGGTTACCTTCAACCTTTTGATTCAGTAAGGGGAGAGGTCTTTAACAAAATTATTTTCTTTGTGTGTCTTTCACAGACATCCTATAGCTTCCTTTTTTCACCTGTTCTTCCGGGTCAGTGCACTAATTGTCTACTTACTCTGCGAATTGTTGAGTAGCAGCTATATTGCCTGTATGGTGACAATCATCTTACTTCTGTCTTGCGACTTCTGGGCAGTGAAGGTAAATATGCTAGAGTTCATTTGCATTTTAATACATTCCATACTAACAGATGATGCAGGTGGATCAATTTCACATACAGGAAAGGAGCTGGAGCTCTCTCTTCAGTGTTTTCTCAAGAGGGAAACCTTTGTAGAGCACTGTGGCCTTTGTCACATAACAGGGGCAAACTTTGCCACTTTGTATCACTACTACTATCATCATCCTCAGACTTCTTTCTGAGGCTGGGAAATTGATTTGCAAAGTATCACTCAGTGAGCTTCCGGAACAAGGAACAAACCCTTAACCTCCTGGAATCTTTGTCCATCATTAGCAGTACTGTACCATGTTGACACAGTTGAATTAATAGCTGCCTACCATGATGTTATTTAACAGCACAAAATACATCGGTCCCTGTGGCTTTTGTGTTGAATGTATAAAGCAGAGCTGGCACATTTGTAAGATTTCTTTCCTGTCGTAGTCACTGTGAATCGTACATTTGGTATCCCTGCGCTTGCGCAATACAACTTTTCGGAACCTAGAAAGAAAAAGAAACTTTCAGCCCTCAGCTAGGCCCGCCCCCCCCCTCCCGAGTATATATAGCCCGAGGGCGGGACTAGCCGTCAGTTCTCTTAATCCGCTTGTGACAGCTTTGAGAACCTTCTGTGACATTGCGATTCTCTACCTACTTCTAACCTTGGTTTTTGAACTTTGGACTGCTCTTTTTGACGATTCCTCTGCCTAGCCCTCTTGCTTGACGCTCGATTGGACTGACTGTAAGGTACTCGACCCGGATCGGAATTGAGATCCCTGCAGTAGCTTTCTGCTATGGCTACTACTTCTTTTAAAAAGTGCACCAAGTGCCCGAATATCCTGCCGGACACTGATGGGCATACGCTGTGCCTCACTTGCTTGGGAGAGGCCCACCTCACCCAATCTTGTGCCATATGCCTCTCCTTTACCCCTCAAACGAGGAAGAATAGAGTGTCTAGGCTTCGGGCAGCGCTCTACGAGAGGGCCCTCATGCCTCCCTCCGCCCCAGCGCAAACCGCGGAACGGCCGGACTTACCTTTCTTGCCCTCCTCCTCCGGGCCGGCCAAGAAGAAGGCCAAAAGGCCTAAATCTAAAGGGCCTCAAGATGGCGGCCAGGCGCCCACACAGAGAGGAGCTCTGGAAGAAAGAGCGGGAAGACCGCTGGAGGCCCGTCGCGCCGTAGCGCCTGTGCCAGCCCCTGTGGCTCAAACTGACGCGGTGCGCCCTCTGCAGGCAGCCGAAACGCCTCGGGTGACGCTCTCGACGTCGACCCCGCTGCCTGCGCATGCGCCTGCTATTATGCCGGCTGCCCTGACTCCTCCTACCGCGGCGTCGCCGATGCTCTCGCCTCCGCCGCTGAGCTGGGCCCGAGAGTCCGCGATGCCGCTGATGTCGGCGGCGGCTGCCGCGGCGCCCATCCTCCTGTCCCCGCTGCCGGTTCTTCTCCAGGATGGAGCCCTTGCGACCCCGCCTCCTTCGGGCCCGGGGGAGGCGGCCGAAGGAACTCCCCGTCGCGCCCAGCCGACAGCCGAGAGCGCCCCAGGAGGGGAGGGCCTTGAAACAGAAGGGCCTCCTGATGTGCCGGTATTGGCGATGCCGGCCCAACCTTGGCAGCAACCCCCTTCATGCCGCCGCAGTGCGAGGCCCAGGCGATCGAGGTCCCCGTCCAGGAGGAGTACAAGGTCGCGCCGTCGTCGATCGACCTCCAGGCGATCCCGTTCTTCCTCAACTTCTTCCTCCTCGTCCTCCTCCTCTTCGTCAGACTACTCCAGACGGAGCAGACGGTCCCGAGCCTCCAGGCGCTCCCGCTGGCACCACTCCTCCATGGCCCCACCTCCCTGCCAGGGTTTTTGCCAGATGGGCCCTTCAGGCCAAATGGTCTTTGTGCAGGCCCCTCCTCCTGCCTTGTCCATCTCAACGCTCCCGGTAGCGATGATGCCCAGGGCGCCGCCTCCACCAGCTGTTTGCCCTCCAGTGCCTAGTGACCAGCCTTCCGCTTCTTCTCAGCTTGATCCCGGGAGGGCCCCTCCGTGTGGAGCTTCCTTTGTACTGAACTCTAATGACACTAACTTACCTGGTGCACCCTATGGGGCAGCATCGTCTCACTCTGCATTGGCCTTACCTGCTTGCACCCAAAGCGACTTATCCGGCAATGCCGCCATCACCCTGTCCGCCTCTCAAGGCAACCTGCAAGGTGATTCTACCCCTATGAGACCGTGCGGGGCTTTGTTGCCCGAGAGTTCTGATCAAAGGGCGGCTGATTTAGACGGTTCTGGTTCTGATCAGGACCCGGCTGACATTGCTAACCATGGGGAGGGGGAAAGTGCTTCTTTTATTCACCCTGCGGATGTGAATAGGTTCGCTGCACTCATTGATAGAATGATCAAGGCCTTAAATATTCCCGCCCCCAAGCCCCCCGAGCACGTGGAGGACCCCATGTTTCCTTCGGAGGAGCAGGTCATAACCCCTGCATCCCCTCTGCCTGTACTCCCTTACCTCCTGAAATTGGCAAAGGTCTCCGACATGTCCCCTTCCCTGGTCCCAGCAATACCCCGGCGACTAGACTTACTATATAGAATTGATGTGTCGTTGGCCAAATGGGTCTCAGCCCCTCCTAGACCGAACACGGTGGTCGCCGAGGTGGCAAAGACCAAGAGGCCCAAGAATTCACTTACCGCCCCCCCTGACAGGGAGGGTAAGAAAATTGACACTCTAGGGAGGAAGGCACACCTCTCGGCTGGGTTGTTCACCTGGATGGCACACTATGCCACCTATGCTAGTGGTTATCAAACTTTCCTGTGGGGAAAGATGCTGGAATACATCGAGCTGTTACCGGCTGACCAGCAGCGCTTTCCTAGAGCCATACATGGGGAGGCCCTTGTGTTGTCAAAAATGCAAAAGGACGCAGCCAAACACATGGCCGAGGCTGCGGGTAACTTATACTCCACTGCAACCTCATTGAGAAGGCACGCGTGGTTGCGCGCGTCTAACTTATCTGAGGAAGGGAAGGCCCTTGCAGAGGACCTCCCCTTCCACGAGGACGGCCTTTTCAATCCGCAAACGGATGATAGGCTGAAACAAAAACAAGACGTGAGACAAGCCGCAGGAAAATTTGGGTATGCTTGGCAGCCCTACCCCCAACAACGCCAGAGATGGAGCTTACCCTCTTCCGGATTCCGTAGGGGTTATGGGAATTCTTATGGTAACTCCTTTAGGGGTAGGAACAACAACAACAATTCTTCCAGATTTCAGGGTGGTCGTCGGACTCCCTACTTCCCTAGATCCCGCAACCAAGGGTTCGGGAATAAGTCTAAGGCTCAGCAGGGGCCCAAGAAGCGTCTTTGATGCACGGGCTCCTGAAGCTACTCATTGGCCATCTAACCCAATTATGCCTGTTGCAATTAGCCTCTCCCCTGTTGTTCAAGTTCCTTCACCCGATGTTCCTCCAGTTTTTGGGGATAGATTGCTCCCATTCCGTCAGTCATGGTCTAACACCACCACGGATGGTTGGGTGCTCTCCATTGTTACTCATGGTTATGCAATTGAGTTTTCTGACTCGCCTAGAGTGGGCCATGTCCGATGCACACTGCCATCGGATCCCTTGTTGCAGGAAGTACAAATGTTATTGAATAAAGGGGCCATTTCCCCTCTGGACCCTTCTGTTTTCAAATACTGTTTCTTTTCCCGTTATTTCTTGGTTTCCAAACGTGGAGGTGGGCTGCGCCCCATCCTCGACCTGAGACACCTCAATAAACACATTCGACCGAAAAAGTTTAGAATGGTCACTCTTGCCTCTATTTTACCTTTGTTGTCCAAGGGGGTGTGGTTTGCTACCGTCGACTTGAAGGACGCGTACTTCCACATATCAATTGCACACCACCACCGAAGATTCCTCGCCTTTATGGTGGGGGACAAAGCTTATTGTTTTAATGTCCTTCCCTTTGGGTTGTCCACGGCCCCCCGGGTGTTCACAAAGTGTATGTCGGTGGTGGCCGCATACCTACGTACAAGGGGCGTTACGGTGTACCCCTATATTGACGACTGGCTGATCGTGTCGAGGTCACGAGACCAGCTTCAAACCCAAATCTCTTGTGTTCTATCCTTTCTCGTCTCTCGGCCTGGTGGTCAACCTCGACAAGTCGTCTCTGTGTCCCTCCCAGCGGATCAGCTTCATCGGTGCCACGCTGGACTCGGTTTCCCAGAGGGCTTTCCTTCCGCCAGACCGCTTCGCCAACCTGAGGGAACTGGTGCTGCAGGTCATGCGCTCCCCGTCGGTGTCGGCCAAACAAATCCAGATCCTGTTGGGACACATGGCCTCCACCACGTCTGTTACCCCGTATGCCAGGCTACGCATGCGGCCCCTCCAGTCATGGTTTGTCTCAACATTCAACCCACTTGTGGACAGCCCCTCCATGCGGCTCACGTTGCCGGCAGCTGTTCATCATTCCCTTTACTGCTGGCAGGACGCGCTGTGGGTTTGTGCAGGGCTACCCTTTCACCCGCCCTGCCCCACTCGGGTGATTACTACGGATTCCTCTCTCAGGGGTTGGGGTGCCCACTCCGAGGGCCTCATCGCTCAAGGCGTATGGGTAGGAGAAGAAAAGGCCCTTCACATAAACATGTTAGAACTCCTCGCGGTAGAAAGGGCACTACTCTCGTTCGAAAGAGTCATAAGGGGCCAGGTAGTACAAATTCTCACCGACAACACCACGGTGATGTACTATCTCAACAAGCAGGGGGGCACCCACTCCCTCCCTCTGTTGAGTTTAACAATTCGGATTTGGGATTGGTGCCTGGATCGGGGAGTGCACCTTTTAGTAACACATCTTCCCGGGGAGCAAAACCTGCTGGCAGACTCACTCAGCCGGAGCCCTCTGACACACCATGAGTGGTCTCTCCATCACGGAGAGGCCCGGAGGCTCTTTCTGGCATGGGGCACCCCGGAGGTGGATCTGTTTGCGACCCAGGACAATTCGAAATGCGGCCTGTTCTGCGCTCGGACCCAGGCCTCAATAGAGACAGGGTGTCTGGGGGACGCATTCCTTCTAGACTGGTTGACCCGGCCCGTGTATGCGTTTCCTCCCTTTCCCCTCCTCCTGAGGGTGGTGGCCAAGATCCAAAGGGAAAACGCGCAGTGCATTTTAATATCCCCGTGGTGGCCTCGCCAACCCTGGTTTTCTCCACTCCACCAGATGGCGAGAGGAACATTCTTCCGTTTCCCCGACAGGGTCGACCTTCTAACTTCGCAGAACGGTCAGGTCTTGTACCCGGAGGTGGACAAGCTGAAGCTCACAGCGTGGAGGATTCTTCCGCTCCCCTAGCTTCATCTGGAACATTGTCTTCCCCTGTGCTAGCGATCATTGACGCTGCACACAGACCTTCGACGAAACGTTCTTACGTCTACAAATGGGCGAAATTCAGTTCGTTTGCCCGTTCAAAGGGACTTGACCCCGAGACTGCTCAGACTTCCGTCGTTTTGGATTTTTTGGTGTCCCTGGCGGATTCGGGGTTATCTCATTCGTCGTTAAAATGTTACCTGGCGGCGATTTCCTGGTTTAGAAGGAAATCGGGTTTGCCGTCGTGTTTCGTGGACCCGCTAGTCAGGACCTTTTTGCGAGGATTCGCCAATATTAGACCTTCGGTGGCTCCAATCGCTCCTTCTTGGAGCTTGGAACTTGTGTTAGCCTGGCTATCAAAACCCCCCTTTGAACCTTTGGCTCGGGTTGACCTTTCATTTTTGTCATGGAAAACAGCCTTTCTGGTGGCAATTACATCCGCCAGACGTGTCAGCGAGCTATGTGCCTTACGAGTAGACCCACCCTATCTTAAGTTTCATGGTGATAGGGTGGTTTTGCGTACAGATGTGGGTTTTTTCCCTAAGGTAGCTACTCGTTTTCACATATCTCAAGAACTGGTGCTTCCGGGGTTCTTTCAAAACCCGGCTACGCCCACAGAGCGTGCTTTGCATTTACTTGATGTGCGCAGAGCCCTCGCATTTTATGTGGATAGGACGGCACCGTTGCGAAAAACACCTAGGTTGTTCGTGAAATATCGTAGAGACGCCGTTGGTCTCCCTTTATCTTCTCAAAGATTTTCTTCTTGGATAGTTTCTGTTATACGGTTGTGTTACCGCCTGGCCGGCAAAGATCTGCCGTTGCAGATACGAGGTCACTCCACCAGGGCTGTGGCTACGTCAACAGCCTTTTTACGAGGAGTGTCTTTAGATGCCATTTGCCGGGCTGCTGTTTGGTTGTCCCCTATGACCTTTGTGTCACATTACAAGGTGGACGCTGTTTCCCAAAGGGACATGGACTTTGGTAGAGCGGTACTGTCTTCGGCGGTGGCATGATCCCGCCTGCCGAGATAGATAACTCGCTAATCTACCAAATGTACGATTCACAGTGACTACGACAGGAAATTATAAGTTGCTTACCTGTAACTGTAGTTTCCTGAGTAGTCACCTGTGAATTCGTACATACCCACCCTTCCTCCCCTCGAGTATCATGCCCCGCCGTTTAGCTGTTTTTTGCGGCTAAGAGAACTGACGGCTAGTCCCGCCCTCGGGATATATATACTCGGGAGGGGGGGGCGGGCCTAGCTGAGGGCTGAAAGTTTCTTTTTCTTTCTAGAAGGTTCCGAAAAGTTGTATTGCGCAAGCGCAGGGATACCAAATGTACGAATTCACAGGTGACTACTCAGGAAACTACAGTTACAGGTAAGCAACTTATAAATTTCATGACAGCTTGTTCAGGAGTGGACTTTTCATGCTGTTTTTATTTTTCTCTAGAACATCACAGGGAGGTTGATGGTTGGCCTTCGCTGGTGGAACCAGATTGATGAGGATGGCAAAAGCCACTGGGTTTTTGAAGCCAGGAAGGTAAATATCTCCGTGTTGTTGAGGAAGTGTGAATTGCTATTATGTGGCGGTGTGTTCCTGGGCTGTGGGCAATTATGTTCCCATTTGAAGACACTAGGAAAGATACTTACAACCAAGGCAGTATATGTCTGGATGAGTCTGTCTGAATTCTAACCTGCCCAATCCTCTATTTTGCCACCATTCTACAAAGATAGATAATCCTATGCAGTGAAATGAATGATATAACATTTTCCATTCCAATTTACTGTATTCTGTTTTTTCTTCTTCACTTGGATGAGACCAAGCTGTAACTAATCATATCAGCACAGAGGAGTTTAAAAAAAACAGGTCTGTTTTTTGTGAGCTCTTTTGTACTTTCTGTTAATTCTCAGAAATCAGATAATCAGTTCTGAGCCACATTTTGACGAAGGCTGCATTACTATTTATGCTGCCCACAATCAGTCTTCAGAGTCAAATAAAAATGACACCACACAAACTAAAAATAAAAATAAAAATGTGGAATTTGTTTCCAAAAACAAATGGAAAAAATAAGTTATAGGAGGTGGCACATGATCAGGGAGTAGAATAATATGTACAGATCAAAACTATCATTGTGTCAAATCACTTTGGTACAGGGCTTGGAAAATTGCTTTTTATCACAAAAGAATGCATATTCTCAGCACCTTTTTCTGATTTCTGTAAATTATGTTCAGATGGATTTGATACTTTTTGGAAACAAACTCCACAGATACATTTTAAATTAAGCAGTTCTGTTTTGCATTTATACTACTTTTCTTTACATTCTTAGACATCTGCTCAGGGGAAGAAAGCTACATCAGAAGCAGAGTCCAGAATCTTCTGGTTAGGACTGATCACTTGCCCTTTGCTCTGGGTGGTTTTTGCCTTCAGCGCTCTGTTCTCTTTCAAAGTTAAATGGCTGGTGAGTTAACAACATGGTAACTATCTAATCAAATTGATTCCCTTGGATAGAAGTTACAGTGAGGCCTTGATTCTGTCATGCGGTTTTGCCTTCCTTCACAGGCCATAGTGATTATGGGCGTGACGTTGCAAGGAGCCAATCTTTATGGCTACATCCGGTGCAAAGTGGGCAGCAGGAAAAATCTGACCAGTGTGGCAACCTCATATCTAGGCAGGCAGCTACTGCGGCAGGTATTTGCCTTTTAAGACTTTTTCTGCTTCCTATTTATGTTTTCATACTGATATGATTTTGTTATGAATATGGTGCTTTCAAATGTAGAAGACTTTCAGAGTTCATCAACTTCCAATAGCATGAACTGGTCCTACAATTGGGAGGAATGCTTGTTTATCTCGTCAAAAATGTATTGCTGCACAGCTTTGTCCTCCTGAGAGAGCATGGCACAAGACCATAAGAGCTTGTCAAAACATATCTTTTAGGTGATGTTTAGCCCCAGAAATTACTCAACACGATGCAAGGATGTTCTTTGTTGGTGTTATCCACAAGGCAAAGAGTCAGAAGTTGTTGTCTGTCTTTGCTCATCTGTATCTTAGGCCTCAAAGCCATATGCAGTTTGGGAATAGGATTCTGTATTTGTTCCAATCTGTGCAGAGGTTTCTCCATTCCTTCATTCTCCCTGCATAGTATGATAACCCCATTCCTACATGTTTTACTTTACAAATTTGTTTGTATTTCTACATTAGGCATCCAGAGATTTAGGTGTCTGTGGAAAAAAAAACCAGTGTTTGGTAAAATTCATGTTGTGCTCAACCATGAAGTTTCAAGAGTGACTTTGGACAAGTCCCTCTTTAATCTGATCTACCTACCTACCTACTAGGATTGTTGTGAAGATGGGATTATATCCAAAATATGGCTTTTTATTAAACTATTTGGAGCTTAATTGATTGATTTCATGCAGTGCAGTACATGTGTATGTTCTTAGAGGAAAAATCTACATTATTGGTAAAACAGCATAGTAAAAGTTGAAACAGTTATTTTTCTTGGATAGTTTTCTTATGGGATCTGTGGTCCGTGAATTAATCCTGAACTAATGTTTCCATTATTGTTTTAACAGACTGTATCCAAAGAGGACCAAGCAGTATCTTGAGGATCCACAAAGAGTCCTGTTTCCACTTTGGTTGCTACTGAAGAATGAGAAATATTTCCTTGGGCCCCTGTACAGAAGATTTATAAGATGTGTGTGGATTTTTGTAATTAAATAGCTTTTACAGAAATGCTAGTTCTCATTTCTTGTAACTTAGATTTGCAGAGCTCTTGCTGACCCTCAACATGCCATTGGGACCTTTAAAAAAAGTAAAATTTCTTCTTTTATTACTGGTTGATTATGACACTCTGTTTCTTAAGTATCTGGGTCTGTTTCAGAGAACTTTATTGTGAAATATTGGACTGTCCAAAAAGTGGGTATCTATCTGAACAGCTCCATGACAGAGGATTGAGTTCTTTCTCTCCTTGCAGAATATTTCTCCCTGAAGAATGTAACTTTGACTTGCAATTTTGTAGATTTTATGTTAGGGGAAGAGAACTTGAAATACAGATGGAAAAAATCCATTCAGACTATTAGTAATAGAATATAGGAGATCAGTAGGACTTGGACTTTAGTTATTGGAACAAAAGGACTCATAAGTCAGAAGTTCAGATCTGTTCAAATGGATTATGAGTGTGGTACTTCACTGGAAACCATCTTCTTCAAAGCTGCATTTTTTCCCTCTTTGTTATGGACTGGAATGGGATCTCTAAACCTTAGCTTGATCATACCATGGCTGATTGGACTGTTTTTCAGAATTAGGATTTTCATTAACATTTTGTGTTTGCTGGATGTACTTTTATGCTCAAATTTCATTTTGAATATGATCAATTTGCAGATTTCTCCCTAGTTCATATTGTATTAACACTGCTTAAAAAGTTGGCAGTGCGTGAATAGAAAAGAAAGATTGGTTATAATGAAGACTGCATAATAATTGCTTATTATTTATGTTCACATTGATTCGATAGATTATACAAAAAGGAGTACTGATAATGTTTGTACTTGGGCGTCTGGATAATGTACAGGTTGAGTTTTTCCCCTGGGAATGCTAAAGCAATGCATTTGAAATTGCTGACCTGCATTGTGCATGGTTATGAAACCTTTTAAATGGTTATGCTTTTGAAGAAACATGTTTTTTCAAAGAAATCTATTTTTTTAAAGTTATGTAATTCTGAATTTACCTGATGTGCTGGCATTATTCATCTACAGCGTTGTGTAGTGTTTGTTCCAATTTAACAAGCTTGCGTTTTTATCCTGGTTCCTCATAGCCTTCCTTCTTTCAGTGTTGTGTTTTTCTTATCATTTGTATGTTCTTCTGGTTCATATTTTTCAGACTTGCTTCTCTACTCTACAGATGAAGAGACCTATTGCAGTAGTAACATTCCTGTTAGTTCTGATAAACAGACAGGCTAAACTTTGTCACTATTACTAAACAATGAATTGTGTGTTTAGCCTGCTGATTGGTTGCCAAAATTAACAAGGCAGATCTAAAGAAGTATAATCTAAGTTCAGACCTCACCAACAACTGTTGTAAGCCCTAAGTATTCCACTCAATGATGGCCATAAGAGCACCCCTAGCTGTATGTACAGTTAGCAAGGCTAAATGCAACTATAAATTAAGACGATGTAAATGGGTTTAATACTACAGCAAAACTTTCATCTCACTTTAGATGCAACATTTTACACTAAATAACTCGCAAGTCACAACATGAAAAAGCGGACATAGACAAAATGGGGATCAAATGTGAGGTGTTGCATATATGAGCTGTTAAACAATCTTGAGCTTGTTTTATTTTACCATTTAATTAGTGATACTAACAGTAAGTATACAGTCTCACATTTTAACATACATAGCATAAAGCATTGTACTCCAGAAGTTCACATTTTCTCCTTCCTTCTTTGGAATTTCCTATACTTTCTTCGTATGCACAGAACTGACTCTTTGGTTATGTTTCTAATGTTTCACTGGGAGACCTATTTAACCCATACATCTTGTTCTGAATGTATTACTAGGTTTCACCTCTGTCCCTCGTCATCTAACCCAGATTCCTTTTTTTTGGCCTGGAAAAACAGAATCCCAGTAATATTCATAGCAGCACATACTGTGGGTTAAAATATCACAGTCTCAACAACTATTGCCAGTTGTGTGGGTTGATCTAGAATCTTCTAAATTCTGTTGATGCTTCAGTCAATCTGAAATAGGCAACTGATTCAAAAAGACAGTTTGACTTGGATTTTATGTTGAAGGGAGGACATGAAGAGGTAATTGAGGCATCCACTTGTTCATTTCTGCTGACTAGGTTTTCAGATTGTTCAACATGATAACATGTTCAAGTTGTTTAGAGAAGAGAGGCAACCATATATCTCTTCATTCTGTCATATGAGTGCTAGTAGTAGAGGACTGGCCAGTTGGATGGTGAAGAAGGGCATCTTTCTTCCATTCTTCCTTCTCTGGAAGAATCCATCTCAAGGCTACTATTGAAGAGGCCTTCATCAACCAGTTTCTAATCTTTTTAATAAAGTCTCAACATTTGCTTCAATCTTTATACCCATGGTGACACTGGAAATAAATCCTGGGGAAAACATATCTATAACTCACTCTCCTTGTCTCTTCACCTAAGCACGATTTCCAACAGAACCCCTAGTAATCTCTTCATGGTTGCAAAAACAGGAATTGGAGTGAATGTTGACAACACAGATCCAGGTTTTTCTGGATGAAACCCTTCATCTAAATCTGTTCCAATATGGTTATGAGACAGAAACAGCCTTGGTTGCTTTATGGGATGACCTACACTGGGTAAATACATGCTTGATGGTACTTCTGGAGCCTCTAATAGCATTTGGTACCATCAAGCATGACGTCTTTCTGGACTGTTTAACTGATAAGGATGTTTGGAACAATGTTTCACAGTGGTTCTGGTTCTTTGATAAATTCTCTGAGAATTGTGCTGGGTAACACTTGTTCAGCCTCCTGGTTGTTGAGATTCTGCAGGGCTCAGTATTGTCCTCTATGCATTTTAACATCTACATGAGGCTTCTGGGAGAGGTCATCCAGAGTGTGGGATGGTGAATTGTCGGTATGCTGATACCTTTTGCAGTTGATGCTTGGGTGTTCTGAAGGATTGGATTTGGGTGAGTAAAAGGACGGTCAGTCTCAAATAGATAATACAGATGTTGAAAATTAGAAACTTGGGGTCAGTAAAAAAAACTAGTATGGGATTGAGATTACAATTATTATGAATGGGTTTACGTTTCCTCTGAAATACCAGATTCATAACTTGGGAGTACATGTAGACCCAGCACAGCTCCTGGATAATCAGATGAGCTTATGATCAACTAGTTGGTGTGTCAAGTGAGCCCTTTTCTAGGGAGAATGGATTTGACCACAGTGTTTTATGTCTTAATTATTTTGTGATGTCTCTATCTGTGACTGCCTTGAAAAGTGTTTGGAAGCTACATCTATTGATAGACATCTTTTTGGTACAGGTTTGAAAGAGCATATGCCTTGCATTGTACTGAATATATTAGCTTCCAGAGTGTTTCAATACAAGGTAATAATTTTGAAGTAAAAGCCCTAAACAGTATGAGGTGACCACCATCTCAAATGCCCAAAATATCATATCCCAATTAGAGAGTTGGATTCCTGCATGGCAGATAGTTGGACTAGACGTGTTTGTGATCTATTTCAGTGCTATGAATTTGTGGTTCTATGAGTAAAGGTTCTTCTGAGAGTATATGTAAGATAGCTTTCTTCCAAGCAGCACTCTGACAGGAGCTCCCAAGGAAAATCAGACTGTTTCCTTCTTGAGCTTCCAGGAAGCAGCTAAGTATATATAGTTTCATAAATGCTTTGGTTCTTGATGCCTAGGTGGTTGCTTTGACCATTTTAAACAGTTTGTGAATTTATAAGCCCTACATACTATGACAGATGGGATATAAAGATATGTATAAGGACATGATATTACTGTTCTTATTTTAGTGCTTTTTCAAATAATGTCCCATATGAAATTTGCCAATTATTACTCTCTTCATAGTACTTCATTCCTTATTTTATGACATTTAAAAAATCAAATTTCCTTCCTCCCCTTGGGAACAGATTCATTCATGATGATAAGTGACATTTTCTTGGAATTTCCCTCAAAATAAAATCATCATTTTCATATTGCATTTTAAATGAGATATCTCCTTACCTTTCTTATCCCAGTGGGCATGGCTGCACTGCAACTTAAATAAATAAACAGGTGGACTTTGTACTTAATGTAACATGTAATTTTGCCTGGAGAGAGGCACTGGGCAGTGAAAGAGGTGGCTCTTGTGCTCTTTGGAAACAAATCTGCAGGGTGCCATAGGAGTTCTGCATGGCAGGAAGTTGTACTGGGTGGCCATTGTGGTCTCCGCAGGAATACACAATACAAATCCCAATTGATGCTAATGTTGCTTCCTTTTGGTGAAACATTGTGATGTGGCTCTTTATTAAAGTTATTTTGGGATATTTAATCCAGTTTGCATATGTACATTGTTTTAAGCATTCTAGTAAAAAAATAAATTGTTATATTATTTAATATATGTTTAGACTGTAAATTAACTTCCTGTTTTAATATTCAAATTCTCAAACCCAACATTACTGTATATCACTCTGAGATGTATGGATATAGCGTAGAATATAAACATTTGAATAAAGAAATAAAATAAATTAATTGTCCCACTGGAGAATAGGTTCCTGTTCTGTAGGTTTCCAGGTGCTAGATGTATGTGCAAGAGAGTTGATTCAGTCAGGATAAATCATACTATAGAAACCTTTCTGAAACCTCCCAGATATTTCACAGCAAGATTTGCACTCTCCACTTGGTACTCACCTATCATTTCACATTTCTACAAAAACAGAATTACGTTTACTTCCTTTCTCTCCCTATCTGGAAGCCAAGGTTCATTCCTGCCTTGCTCTTGCCATTTGTTTTTGGCAATTTAACATTCATTAGGACTTCCTGTCTGCTGAGCTGTTTCCTTCCTCTGCATTTTCTCACACCTTTCACTGCACGTAGCTTTTTTCTCTTCCCTTTGCATCTTTTTCTTTTCCCTCCTCACTTTATTTGCATAGTATCTCATTATACCTATTTCAACAAAGACTGCAAAACTTCAAAACACCCACTCATAATTTCTTCTTTATTGTTTAGATCAGAAATCAAAACTAATCCATCCCATGGACATGGTAACATTATACAACTATATCACTCAATCTGGACTCCAGAAGATAATATTTGAGCAATTAGTGAGTTGATTTAGTTAGTCATCTTTCGATGTTCCAATTTTTGGTACTTTTCCTCTATACCATTCCTATACTTCCATTTGGAAAGTGAAGGGCATATTAAGTTGTGAATTGGGAGGTTCCTGGTTCAAGTCTCAGCTCTGCTGCGGTGAGTGCATGTGGTCTTGGGCAATACCACTTTTTGCTATGTAAATAATATCTTTCTATCCAAGCTGTGATTGTAATGTAATAAGGCATAGCATTCCATTTTTGAATGATGTAACTGCACTTTCGAAGTTACATTTATAGTAATTTAAAATGAGAACATACTAAATAGTGAAGGAGAGATATATGATTCCATTTCTGTTTCTTACATTGCCCTAGATCTAGATATAATGATGGGATAGATAATGTTTTATGTTATAGACCAGCCATAGGACATGTTCAAATGCGGTTTTCAAATAAAAGTACCGATTGTAATTACTTTTGAGAAACAGGAAAGTGTTATTTTAAAAAAATGTAAACAATATTAGCTAATTAATTTCTGTCACTTAAAGCTGCTAGATTCAGACTTGTGATTCTTCTTCAGTTATTGTTATACTGCTACAATAAGGAATATCCTATATATTGACAAAATATTCATCCTTTAGATCAGGGGTCCTCAAACTAAGGCCTGGGGGCCGAATACGGCCCTCCAAGGTCATTTACCTGGCCCTCACTCAGGGTCAACTTAAGTCTGAAACTACTTGAAAGCACATAACAACAACAATCCTATCTCATCAGCCAAAAGCAGGCCCACACTTCCCATTGAAATACTATTAAGTTTATATTTGTTAAAATTGTTCTTCATTTCAATTATTGTTTTGTTTTTAAGTGTTTTTTGCACTACAAATAAGATATGTGCAGTGTGCATAGGAATTCATTTATGTTTTTTTCAATT